CCTCTCTGTTGTGCATTCTGCAATCCTGACGACCCACAAATGGCCTGATGGGATCATTTATCAATGTCGATTTTAGTGTTTTAGAAAGCATTTATTGTTTTAATAAATAAATGTGAGTCATAATAGTTTTTAAATTATTTACTCAACCTCAACATTTACTTACCCAGAAATTATGTTTTGCAACTATTTTTATAAATTATATTCTATAGACCTGATTAGGATTTTGTATCACATAAACATGAATCATATAAGTGAACTAAAAATATTTGGGACACTAATGAGCTAGACAATTCCTGTGATTACCATAAGGGACTCCTCATTCTTCCCAGTGTACTTTTAAATTAGTAGAAGATTTTACTATGCCAGAAAATGTAGAGAAATTGGGCACAGTTTCATTTACATTCATATTAAATTCTTTAAGTACCATAATGTCACGTAGAAATTGGAAATGTCATCTATCTCTGTTCCTTCTGTCAAGCTACACGTAAATCATCCCTGATAGGTAAGACTGTTTCTGTTTTCAAAGATTTCCATGGCAGAGGGTATATATAGCTTTACTTGCTAAGTATTTCAACTATAATGCCACTATGAAAATTTCTGGAAAGTTGTATTTAATGTTTATCCTCCATCACTTATGATACAGAGAACTCTCAATTATGTTCTCTAGTGAAGAGGAAACTTCCATACAGAGTTGATTCACCCTCTGGGATTTTCCTTTATCCCTGTAATGAAATCTCCTGACAGAAATGAGGGAGTCACTAGTACCTACAGACAGGCTCCAGGAAAGTCCTGGGACAGAGTTAGGGAAGTTGCTTATCTCTTCATCTTTTTTAATATATATTTTTATTAGTTGTTGATGGACCTTTATTTATTTACATGCAGTGCTGAGAATCGAACCCAGTGCCTCACACATGCTAGGCAAGTACTCTACCAGAGCCCCAGTCCCAGCCCCTCTCTTCATCTTTTAATACCTTCTAAGATTTCAGTCAGAAGACAGCCCTAAGACTGATGGAACTACAAGTTCTTTGTAGAAAGAAGTAGAATATAAATAAATAAAAATAATTCTTTATCTAAAATATTTTTCTGGTAGCTTCCTCAGTAAATGTTTGTTGAGCAATAAAGAATAAAATTTCTTGGGCTGGGGATGTGGCTCAAGCGGTAGCGCGCTCGCCTGGCATGCGTGCAGCCTGGGTTCGATCCTCAGCACCACATACAAGTAAAGATGTTATGTCCACCAAAAACTAAAAAATAAATATTTTTTTAAAAAAAGAATAAAATTTCTTTTTCTTTTTTTTTTGGTACCGCAGATTGAACTTGGGGACACTCAACCACTGAGCCACATCCCCAACCCTGCTTAGCATATATTTTTTTCATGTGAAATTGCTTTTTATTGTCAAAACAAAAGTGCTTGACAGTAATCACTGAGAGGAGGAAATTTATTTGGGGCTCACTCTTTCAGCAGTCTCAGTCCATAGTCAGCCCAGCTCCTGCTCTGGGGCCAAGATGAGGCAGAACATCGTCATAGTGGCAGAAGGGCCTAGAGAAGGAAATCTTCTCCACTCATGGCAGCTGGAAAGCAGAGAAAGTGAGGAGCCAGGGACACAGTGGCCTGCCCCCACTACCTGCCTCCTCTAACCATGCCCCCTGTGTAATCCATTCAAATTATTAATCCATGTATGGATTAATTCAGTGATTAAGTTATATATATGATCTAGTAATTTCACCTCTGAACATTCCCAAACTAACACATGAGCTTTTCAAGGAACATTTTATATCCAAGCCATTGCATTAAATCTAAAAATTGAGTTCTAAGAATTTGCATTGTTATGTGAGCACTGAATAGCAATGGAAAGTAGATGTGAAAGACATTTCAAAGAGAGAATCTTCTTCAGGGCAAATGATATGTTGCATTTAAGACAAAGTTAGAAATACAAGTTGACTTTTAAGATTTTTAATGTAGACATTGGGGCAAAGATATCAATATAAAAATTAAGTAGCATGATGAGAAATAGGTTTGCAAGTCAAATGTGAAAAGTTGACTATTAGACACAGTAAGTTTGAATATGACTAGAATTTAGGGAAGAAGTTAGAAGTAAGGATCTAATTTACTCGGTTTCCAAGTAAGTATATAAATATTAATATTCCTAGAAACACACACTTACTTACCCATTTAGCAAACTCTTAGTCCTGGCCTGCCATGTTGCCATTCAGGGCAGTAGTTGAAAGCACAGGCTTTGCAGGGGTAGGGTGTATAGCTCATGGGTAAAGCACAGGCTTAATGTGCTAGGCCCAGTTTCAATTTCCAGCACCAAAAAAAAAAAAAAAACTATTCAAAGCACAGACTTTAGATTCAAAGTATCAAGTTTTTGAATCCTCACAACTAACAAGCTTTATGACCTTTGCTTGTTTCTTAACTTTTAAATTTCTCTGTTAATTCATTTTCTCATTTGTAAAAATGGGATCTCACTAAAATTCAATCTTTGAATGTACCGGAAGCAGTACCTGGCAGATAGGAAGCTCTGTGAATGTGTTAGATGTTACCATCCCCATCACCAAGCTCTGCTGCTAAATACTAAATTATAAATATATGAAGATGAATAATAAGGTGGTTCACCATCCACTGGTAGCAGCTTATTATTCAGAGATGAATATTTGTAAAGGCAAAAAGTCAAGTGTATATTTATTTAATGATTTTGATCTTTTTGATTATAAGATTTGTGGGAATTTATTGCTATGGATCGTTGAGACAGTTGTCTTGAGTAATAAGTAAATAGCTTAAGCATCAGATTTTGCAGGAGACATTTTCTGGTTGGTTAATGCTCTACAGGGGCCATACTTTTCACTCTGATCTCAGCTGTACTCACAGGTGGTTTTCCATCGGGACTAATGCGTTAGTTTTTGCCTTTAGTTACAGTTGGCATGGATGACTGCCACGTTAGTCATTTTGGTTTTTCTCTGTTTCATTTTTTTCTTTCATTGGGAAGCAGTAATTTTTAACACAATAGCCAGGCAAGGTGGTGCACATCTATAATCCCAGCAGCTCGGGAGACTGAGGCAGGAAGATCATAAGTTCAAAGCCAGCCTCCGCAACAGTGAGGTGCTAAGCAACTCAGTGAGACCCTGTCTCTAAATAAAATACAAAATAAGGATGGGGATGTGCTCAGTGGTCTAGTGCCCCTGAGTTCAATCCAGGGAACCTCCCCCCAAAAAATAAATTAATTAATTAATTAAATAAGCACAACAATTTATTCTGTCTTGTCATCACCACAAAATAAAGCTAAAATAAAATTTGAGTTTGCTGGCATGGAGGCAGTGATAGGCGCTCACTCCTCAGTCAGTGCCACTGAGTTGGAATAAGTAGTCACCTTTTTAATACATTGGTTCTGTAACCGAGACATGCATGTTTACCGCCACCTGCTTGCACCAGCCGCAAGGAATATTCAGCAACTTACTATAATTGGTTAGTGAGCAACATGACCTTTCTCTCGAGCCTACATATTTATCATAAATAGCTTTCTAATTTTAACTTTTCACTCAAATATCGGACACTTAAGAGACTGAAGTTTTAAGCTGCGTGTGTGGCTTATTTGAAAAAAATCAAAGCTCAAGTTATTTTGGAATTGTTAAATTTTTTGGTGATTTAAGAAGCACAAATGAGGTCAAAGGACAGAAGCCAATTCTGAATTAACCATTTTTAATACTAAGAAGTTGATTTGATCTCGGTTCTGATTACTTTTTTAAAAATTTTTTTTAGTTGTTGTTGGACCTTTATTTTATTTATTTATATTTGGTGCTAAGAATCAAACCCAGTGCCTCACACATGACAGGCAAAGTGTGCTACTGCTGAGCCACAGCCACAGCCCTGTTCTGACTACTTTTTAAGACTACATTGTGGGGCTGGGGATGTGGCTCAGGCAGTAGCGCGCTCGTCTGGCATGCGTGCGGCCCAGGTTCGATCCCCAGCACCACATACCAACAAAGATGTTGTGTCCGCCGAGAACTAAAAAATAAAATATTAAAATTTCTCTTTCTCTCTCTCTCTCCTCTCTCACTCTCTCTTTAAAAAAAAAAAAAAAAGACTACATTGTATCTACTCTTTACCTGGGACTCTTGAAATGTTCTCTAACCAAAAGCAATATAATTCTTATACTTTAAACAAACAAACAAAAAAGATGGCCACAGCAGTTCTGTGCACAGATCATTTCAGCTAATGAAGCATAAAGGATATGAATGAATAAAATACAGTCTATACACCACCAAGACCAGTCTTGAATATACTATACCAAAGTGACATTGGAGAAGTTCATGTTACTTTAAATTTCTAGAGTTGAACTCCCCTGTCAAGCACTGAATGTGCAATCTCAAACATGCTTACTGGGCCTTGGAGTGTGGATCAGTGTTAGAGTGCTTGCCTGGTATTTTTGAGGCCCTGGGCTCAATCCCCAGGCCTTCCCTCCGCAAAAAAAAAAAAAAAATGGACACTATAGCTAAGAAACACAATTACTCATGAAATTTTCTAATAACAAATATCATATCTGTTTAAATGAATATGCTTTTATTTATCTTAAGGTCTTCTAAGTATTTTAATGCTTAATGCTTCTATGCCTTTAAAATAATTTTTGTTTTGCTCTTTTTTTATTATGCTAAAATATATATATAACAAAATTGTCCATGTGATAAGTTGTGTTTTTAATTATAGAACTTTTAATTATGACAAAATATGTATCACTAAAAATTTGCCATCTTAACTATTTTAAGTGTACAATTTAGTAGTATTAAGTATATGTACATTGTCATGCATTTAACCTCTAGAATATATAATAAAGAAATTAAAAATTTCAGATGTGGTCTATTAGTGACTTTATTTTGCACATCAAGATGATATTTTTGTTCGAAACATGAATATATGTCTCACTGATAAAGATTCAATTTTAGATTTGGAAAAATTACTTAATGGTTTTCTCTCTCTCTCTCTCTCTCTCTCTCTCTCTCTCTGATAGGAGTGAGCTGAGTCGACAGAAACTTCATACCCAAGAGCTGCTTTCTCAGCTAGAAATGGCAAATGAAAAGGTAGCTGAGGTAAGATAATGACTCCCTTGGGAAGTACTTTCTACTGCAGCTTGATACATATGTTAAAGAATTTTATCTACACCAAATCCAAATTAATTCTCTACCTGGAAATAGCCACATAGAAATCATCCATAATCTTAAAAGTCCACCCATAATGTAATGTGGATAAAAGCTTTGAAAGTCTGTGATTCATCACCTGTAGATGATAAAAGGTAGAAGTCTCATTTCATAGTGTCATTTGTTCATTGTTTCAGAGGATTATTGGGATTCTCATTATTCCCATGCATTTCTAAGATTATTTTATTTAATCCATTTCCCTCATTTTGTTTTAATCCATCACAAAAGACCCACAGAAAATATTTTTGTTTACTGGAGTGTGTTAATATACATTTAGATTGATATCTTAAAACTAAATGTAACAAAAGTTCATTATTTTTTCCTTGAGGCTTTAAAAACTTAAACAATTTCTGTATGATAACTGAAACTTTCCAGAGCTCTGGTTCTTCACTGGATGTTCAAATTTTGAGTGTGTTTTTTAGAATTTCATTAATGGTTGACGAGGTTCACCTCTGTAGTTTACTATAGGAGCCACAGTGACATCATGGCTCTTAAGCATCATGGCAATATAAGCTGCTATCGGCAACTTAGAAAACTAGGAAGAGTTATTAAATGTCCTTAATTTAATTCCTACTTCCAGAAATCTGTTTTAATGAAGTAAGGAAAAAATGAAGATTTTCAACATAGTGATGTTGATAATATTCAAAGATCAAAAGAAACCAAAAGTATCCATTGGGGGGGAAAAACAGTTGTTTTTATTGTGATTTACAGTCTGAACTGTTTCTTAGCCATTATGACAGCAGCACAGATGAATGTACATGATATATAGTCTAATTAGAAATAGGAAAATGATTATTATAAATGATGTGATTTTATTCCTCAAGTTTTCTCTAATGTATGATGTACCTCTTAAAATTTTAGAGTACCTATTTTGCTGCAGTCTGGCTGGGCACAACATCTTGGTAAATTGGTACAACCAAGTTAATTCTCTATAAAATTTAATTTCGCTTTTGGGCATAATGAGAAATAAAGTAAGTTTATTTGAGCAGGATAATCCATTATTTCAGTGTTTTCTATTACTAGGCATGGCATTCACTCTGATCATTTGTATGCTAGGACTTGTTAGGCATTTTCTAACCACTCCTGATTGGGCTTATATTTTTCTCTCAATTTAGATAAATGCCAGAAAAACTGTCTAGCATTTCTAGTTGCACAAAAAACAATTTTTTAGATGTACTGTGACCAGGCAGGTAAGTATGAAGAGAGCAAACACATTTTTTAAAATATTGTTTTAGTTGTAGATGGACACAAAATACCTTTATTTATTTTTAGGTGGTGCTGAGGATTGAGCCCAGTGCCTTACACATGTGAGGCAAGCGCTCTACCGCTGTGCTACAGCCCCTGCCCTGAGAGCAAACATATTTTTAATTGATAGGTTAGTTGAACTTGTCTGCATGACATTAAAATCAGTGACAGCTTGGTATTGATGCTGTCTTTGTAGTTCTGCCATAGCAAAGTATTACAAACTGGGAGTGTAAACAGCAGAAAGTTATTTTCTCACAGGTCTGGAGGCGAGGAGTCCAGAATGGCAGTGTTGGCATGTCACCCATGTGAGGGCTCTGAAGGAGGATCTGGACATGCCTCTCCCCCAGCTCCTGTGGCATCAGGCATTACATGGCTTGTGGGCCGTGTTCTCTGTGTCTTGCCATGGTTTTCCCTTTGTGCATGTCTGCCTTTGTGTCATTTCCCATTGTAATGTGACATCAGTTATATGGATTATGGCCTGTCATAATGATCAGATCTTAATCATCTGCAAAGACTCTTTCCAAATAAGGTCACATTCACAGGGACTGGGGGTTCAGATTTTAGCATGTTGACTCTAGGAGCCCCTGCAGAATCCAGGTGTTCTAGGGATGCACCCCTGCTCCATGGCTGTGATGCTAAGACCCAATAGTCCTTGGGTCACAGGCTCTCCAGGTGGTTCTGAAGCAGTGCTCTAGCATCTCAAGTTAACCAAGCAAAAACTGAAAGTCTTGCTCTTAACTTCTAACTCACTCTGCTTTTGAATTTCTTAATTTGCTTTTTCTGGTGGTATAGAAGGGGAGAAAACAATTTATAAAGAATGTAAAACCAGCTTTATACTTTGAAGCACATATCTTGGAAAATGTAAATTTGGAGATAATAGTATCTTTTATTTTTAAGTGGGAATATGATGTCCAGATAGCCGCAGTCTGGCTGGGCACAAATAACCGAGCCACCATGAAGCACTTGTAGGTTCAAACAGCAACTCTTTATTCCCGAACTCTCTCCGGCACTCTCCACACACGTTCCCCGGGAATACCCTCACCCTCCACTCTCTGGGAACTCCTGCACTCTCTCTCCCCGAACTCAACCGGAACTCCAAAGCAGCAGCAAAGGTCTATATACAACTGAATACACAGCTCAACTTAACCATCATCTTCTCAATGGCTCGCTGGCATCACCTCTCAACCACTCCCTCTGGCAAAATGCCAGGTGCCACCCCGACTTGGCTGTGGCTCTCAACACAGATTTTTCTCCACAAAACATTTCCATGTCACATATGGCTTTCTAATTTGTTTTATATTTTCTCTTAATAGAATGAAAAGCTAATTCTAGAGCATCAAGAAAAAGCCAACAGACTTCAAAGGCGTCTGACTCAGGCAGAAGAGAGAGCGGCTTCAGCTTCCCAGCAGGTAGGGAGCATACTCATTATCCCCAAATAGTGAACAGTTGGAGTAGATCACTATTAAGACATAGTGGACATGCTCAGACCTCCCTAGAGCTAGTAGTTTTATTTTTACTTGATTAATGTATTTAAAATTAGTCCCTTTAATACTCATGATTGAAAAGTGAACTTTAAAAACAAAAATAAATCTTAATATCATCCAGTTGTCATCTGTATCTAGAATTACACTATCCAATGATAGCTGCTGGCCATAAGCAACTGTTTAAATTTAAATCAATTAAAATTAAGAATTGAGATTCTCAGTCAAAGTCGCCAGATTTCAAGAGCTTAGTAGCCTGGATCACTATGGGAAGCCGTAGTGGACGGTATGGATATGAATATTCTGACGGCAGAACATTCCTGCCATCAGAAGAGGACCTGCTAGTCAGCACTGCTCTAGACTCACAAGTCTGTCTAAACCTAGGCAGATGCTCGCCCCCACATAGATAAGATTGCTCCAAATATTTCATATTGCACTGGCTTTAAGTAGAAAAATTATTTCACTTACGAGTGAACTGTACTTAATGCACATTTATGTATAACCAAATAAAACTAAAATACAATATGAAAATTGTCAAATGGGAAATAGAATAGGAACATGAATCAAATAATTTCTCATAATACATCTTATAACATCATATAAATGAAATGGGCCAGAGGTCAGAGGTCAGGGAGGCAGCTCAGTGGTAGAGCACCTTCATCATGTGCACCTGACCATGGGTTTCACCCTGCACTAATAAATACATAAAATGGGCCATTTGTAGGAGCAATAGTCCCTCCTATTTGGAATGAAATAGACCTGTTCAGTGGTAACAAAGAGACTAGAAGCAGTTGATGGACAGGTGGATGGAGCAACAGGCAACAAAAAAGAATGCAGCTGCCATATTATTAATTATATTTAAGTATGAATATACTGTTTCTATCAAAATAAGTATTTTTCTTACATAGGAAGACTGTGGCCTAGTGCCATTAAGAAGCCATGTGACTGGGCAATTTCAGCTTCCTAATCAATTTCCTGTTTGATATGGGATAGTAACACCTCCGTCATACAGTTATTGAAAGATGAAATAGAACTAAATAATTAGACAGCTATATGTTAAATTAATTTCTGTATCATTAATACTTAAAGCTATGTTCCTTTTTTAAATGGGGCTTTGCTATATTACACGGTCTGGCCTCCAATTCCTGGGCTCAAGTGATCCTCCTGCTCAGCCTCCCAGGTAGCTGGGCCTCTACATGTACAACGCCATACCTGGCTAACACATTTACCTTTTAAAGAAAATGCCTACTTAAAACCAACCACCCTGCATTGAACAGTGAAAAGGGTATAATTATAGAATCTTAATTATATAATCCATGTGACATCTCATGAAGTTTCCCTCCTGATAGAATTAAACCTAAACAGTCCAACACTTGTTCCTGCTGACATTTAAACTCACTAGTGGCAAAGTTTCTACCATTCCTTTTGAGAGCTCTTTTATGTTTTGACAATTACCACTTCACATTTTTTTCTCCTTCCATTCTGTTTTTATTGGAAGATAAGAAGTAACCACTTAGCATTCTCCCCATACAAAAAAGAATTTCTGCTCTAGAGTTGATTTTATTTTTATTTTAAATGAGACCAAATGATAAATTTTCTCTTATAGGACATATGTTCATTTTTTCATCTTTACCTTTGCCTTCTCTGACTGCTTTCCAATTTTCTCATTTTTTTTCCAATTTTTTTTCTTCTAAAAACTGGACATTGCTCTTAGAAAGAATGTCCCACATGGGCAAGAAACTAACTGAAACAAAGGAGTTAAAGGGCTGTGGGTTCCTGTGTGGGGTCCGCAGGAGCAGTGCACTGAGCAGCCCTGAGTGCTCTTCGGACCACCTCTGTCGGTGTGTTCTTCGTCCAGTCCTGTGTAGTACTCTAAACTGTTGAATGCCACACTGCATTCTTTTAACAGAACCATTTTTTAAAATCAGTGTGGTAAAGCCTTTCTGTGCAGGAACACAAAAGCTAGAAACTACAAAAAAGAAAAAACGTTGAATAAATGTAACCATATGAAATTTCAGATGTCTGCATCTAAGTCAAGTCATACAGCTAGGAGTGTAGCTCAATGGTAGAAAACTTGCCTTCCATGCACAAGGACCTGTTGGGAGCCCAGCACCGGGAAAAAAAACATCATAGAGCAAGTGACAAACTGAGAGAAACATATGCAACACATCCAGCAAAAGGCTAGTTTCCTGAGTATACAGAAAAAGTGCGTAAGTTTAAAAGTAAGAAGTGCTGGGGCCAGGGTGGGGCTCAGCGGTAGAGCACTTGCCTGACACGTGTGAGGCGCTGGATTCCGTTCTCAGCACCACATAAAAATAAATAAAATAAGATACAGGTATTGTGTCCATGTACGACTAAAAAAATAATTTAAAAAGAGAAAGAAATGTTATTGTCCAATAGACAGTGGATAAAGGGTTTTTACAGAGAAGGAAAGACAGATGTCTTTTAATCTTTTAAAACGATGCTCATCCTCACCCACAAGACAAATATAAATTTAAATATTAATCACATATTATTTTCACCTGTCAGATCCTGAAACTTGATAATGCATTGTGCTGGCACTTGTGTGCATTACTGATGTAGGTGTGTACTGACACAGCCTCTTTGGAGACTGGTTAGCAGTATCTCCCCAAAATTTTCAATGTGCATAATCTTTGACCCATTTTTATACCTGGAAAAGTCTTTGCAAGGAAGAAAGTATGTCTCCAATTGTAACAGACTAAAAGCCATGTGCATACCCAACAACAGGAGACAGGTTAAGTCATGGATGTCCACACAGGGAATAGTCTGCAAATGTTGAAAGAATAAAGTACAGGGGCCGTGATACACCCATGTAATTCCAGCAGTTTGGGAGGCTGAAACAGGAGTTCAAAGCCAGCCTCAGCCTTGGTGAGGCGCTAAGCAACTCAGCAAGACCCTGTCTCTAAAAAAAATACAAAAATAAAGCAGGGGGTGTGGCTCAATGGTCAAGTGCCCTGAGTTCAATCCCTAGTAACAAAAAAAAAAAAAAAAAGAAAGTAGATCTAATATGAAATTATTTCTAATTCAGATCATTTAGAAGAAAAAAGCCATAATAAAAAGCACATAGGCCTTATCATTTTTAAATAAAAAGGAATGAAGAAATACATATGTATATGTATACATATTATCTTTTAGAGTATTTCTAAAAATATACCTAAAAGCTGGAAGGAGTGGTTGTAAGTGGAGTGGTTGTGTCTGTGGAATGAAAGACCTTGATGGGAAGGTCATGTCCCCAGTGCCGTGTATTCTCCTGTATTCATAGATCTTTTCTACAATTCAAATTAGTAGCTAAAGATTATTTTACTATTAGACTTTTCTTACTACATCCTCTCATCTTTTTACTACCAGCCTGTATTGTGTTCGCTCACATTCACTGTGTGGTTTAGACATTTTTCTGATTAACTTTGGTTTAGGTGATTTTCATCCATCTGGAACATGTTTGGGAGTTCTGAGTACATCACTCTGAGCCGGGGAATGTCATACTTGACATGCATTTCTCTCATGTAATACAGACACTGTGAACACACAAGACTAAAACAGAAATGAATAACCAAAAAAAAAAAAAATGACCTTTCAAGATCCCTTCCAATGAGATTATTTTCAAGAACTGTAGGTTGTGATGCATTGTGCTTTGTATTAATCTAAGATTTTCCATAGAGAAAGTAACTACTTACTGATTGTTTATTTTAATTGCAGCTCAGTGTGATTACAGTACAGAGAAGAAAAGCAGCCTCCATGATGAATCTGGAAAATATTTAAAAATATTCATAGTTCACTCACAGAACTGTAGTGTTGGGAAAGCTGTTGGACTAGAGATATTTGAAATGATGAATCCTGCAGAGAATGGTTAAGGCTTGTGTCATTTTGCATAAGCATTTTCCATTCTGTCTTAAGGGTTTTGGGAAACAGAACAGTGACAGCATCCTGAAAGTAAAGAAAATATAATCCTATATTTGAGCTTCAGTGGAGAATAAAGCCAGCCAAGAAGAATTTATGGGCTTCATCAGTGTGTCTATTTTTTAATCCCCCTTTTTCCCTTGGAAGAACATGATACTTTTTAAACTATGCTAATTATGAGAAAGAGGTTTTAAGAAAATTTCAGAGCTTAATATTTCAGGTTCTAAAATTTGGGAATTTTATATCTGATTGTTACTTCTAATTCATTTTTAAAGTTCCTAAGAATTAATTTTATTATGAACTCCTCAGTGGAATAAATTATGCACTTTCCAAAATTATGCTGTCATGTATTTTAATGTATAATCATAGTAATTCATTTTTAACTTACATGGTTGCCAATATTTACACAATTAATTTAAGATTTGGGGTGGGGGTTTTTAATATTACTGAAAACAGAACTAATCAAATGGAAATCCTTGATTCTAAGAATGCACAGCTTTGGGCTATTACAGTCCTGTGGATCTTCTTTGATCCATTCTTTGAGCTGGATGCACGATGGTTTCTGGTGATGAGGGTGGAGAGGTGTGCGTCTGGAGAAGCAGTTAGGAGACTGTTGCAGTTGTCCAGTTAAAAGACAAAGAGTTTGAGTTGGGGTAACATGAAAATATCCATGTGTAGATATTTAGCCAAAGTGGAATGGTGCTTAAAAAAAAAAAAATGGGTAATCACAGGAATCTGGCTTGGAGATGAAAATTAAAGCCATAGAAACATCAGAGCTTGCCTCGGACTTTACCTGATGCAGCTAGCCACCTCTTCTCTTCCCCCATCACCCTTCCCCTCCATTTCTTTGTTTTTGTACCAGCAGTTGAACACCAAGACAGGGTTTCACTAAGTTGCTTAGGGCCTTGCTAATTGTTGAGGCTGTCTTTGAACTCATGATCCTCCTGCCTCAGCCTCCTGAGCCACAGGGATTACAGGCATGCACCACCATGCCTGGCCTCCCTTCCATTTCTTGTGCTCTAGACTTGATGGTCTTCCTTTACTTCCATCAACATATGACCCTCCCTCCTAGCATATCTTTCTCCATTTACATAACCTTTGGATCTCTACTCAGACATTCCTTCCTCAGAGGAGCCTTCACTGGCCACCACGTTAATCTGAGTCTCTTTGTGAGGACACTCCTACTAGTGTGCTGTAGTTTTCCTTCATAGTATAGATCAAAATCTGCAATTAACTCATTGGACTTCTTTCCTCCCTAGCAGACTGCAAGCTCCCTGGGAGCAGTATAATGTCTGCTGTGGGTCATTACAGTATCCTCACACTCAGCACAGCTCCTGGCATGCAGAGGGTGTTCATTACTGTTCATATACTGAGTGTTCAAGCACAAGACCTTACGGACTGCACGCTAAATGAGCGCAGGGCGACTCCTCTCTGCATTCTGATATTAACAGTTTTCTTTCCATTTGGCGCCCCTCTTCAGTACTTGGATATTCTCCAAGACGGGGAGGGGGACCTATAACAGTATGCCACTCTGACCTCTGTGAATTTGAACAGACTTAAGGTATACCGAGCATGATGGGATCTTGTGTTGTTGTTTTGAGAAAAGTTTGTTAGTGCTGGGTGCGTACAGTGGTGTACACCTGTAATCTCAGCTACTCGGGAGGCTCAGGCAGGAGGATACCAAGATCAAGGCCAACTTGGGCAACTAGAGATCCTGTCTCAAAAAATTGGAAAAAAAAATTTTTTTTTAAAGGATTGGCAGGGTAGCCTTGGGTTTAATGCTTGGTACCACAAAAAAGACAGAAAAAAGAAGTTTGTTAGTAATTACTGATGTAAAAATGTTGTGATTTTAACATTTCTCATATCAGTAAGTCTTAACTTCATTTATAGAGACAGTATCACTTATCCTGTAAACTGTGTTTTAGGAGCAGAGACTGAGAGTGGGAAAATCACATAAATCTGAAATCGAGGACAGCACAGCTAGTTCATTTTATTTATTCATGTTTCTTTATTGTGTCTCCCTGAGGAAGAAAGGAGACATGATTACTTCTTCTTTCCTTTGTACACAAGCATGCAAATTGGGGTTTCTCCTCTGGTGTGAGCACCATAGCTGCCCGAGTGGGGAGAACATTATCGACAATTCAGCCATGCATTTATTCAGCAGATATTGAATATTTCATAGCCGCACCATCTTGCCAAAGCAATTCTCAAACAAATCAGAGAGAAAAAACATTTTAAACATTTTACTAGAAATCTGTTCTTTAACCATAATGTGTTTTATCATTTGTTCCAAAATAAGTCTGTAATGAGCTTTTTTGCAAAAATTGTATCAAAAATTATTAAATGTCTTTAGTTTACCGAAAAACGTATGTATCGGTAGGTAGAAATAGACGGAGAGAGACACTGGCTGCAATACCCTGAGGTTATGTATAAAATCTGCCTTTTACCAGCCCTTAAATTGTATAGCTTTTGCAATGATATTAGTTCTCTTAGATTATATAGAGAAGAAAAATAAATATGTGTATACTCAGATAACAGTCATAGGATGAAAAGGCATCAAAAGTAATTTTTTTTTTTTTTTTTACAAAACTAGTGCCTTTAGCCCAAAAATTCACCAAAAAAATCCTCATGTGCCACACATTCCCTCTGAAACTCCTGAGGTGTGCACTGAGGCCACCTCTATGTCTTCCACTCAGAACTGAATGTAAACAAGTGAGGGAAGGCAACTTGGAATCTGCTGGCTCATTTATTTTGAGACGCAGATGAAGTGCAGTACCTTTTGATGGTGTGCACAGCTGCTGAAGTTCACAGAGGGGCAGCTCACCTCCCCCCGGGTGGCCCAGTCCTTTCTCCAGGGCTTTGACCTCTCAAAAGTTCTTCCCTACAGTGGACTGCAGTGTGTCTCCTGCCTTCGTTCCACCTTGTGTAACAGAAAAAGTCTAGACCTTGTTCCACACGGCAGTTTTCAAGATTTTAACAACAAATTCTTTTTCCTCTCAGTAAATATTCCTATTTTCTCACAGGACTTGGTTTTGAGTTCCTGAGCTGACCAGTTACCGACCAGCAATTGGATATATAAATTGCAAATCTTCTTCACTCATTCAGTCTATAAGTCCTTACTTAACCCCAGCTTCACACTAGGTGTGCTTAGAATACATCATCTCATGCCCCGCAAAGCAAAGGAGTAAACTTGTCAGTCCCTTGTCCTAGATTCTGACAGAGGTCTGCAGGAGAGTGAGGGGTAGGGGGTGTCAATTACCAGAAACTCCAGGGGATGAATATGGTCTTGAATTCTGTGCCCTTGCCTTTCCCCACCACAAGAAAATGATGACATATTCTTAAGAAAGCATGCTTCCAGAGTCATAGCAGCAGCCATTCATGGAAATGTTCATATGTAATGTTTCTTAGTGTTCAGATGAGCAGAGTCTTGCCGTTCTGGGGCCTATACTTCCATTAATGTAGCTTAAAATCATTTAGTTCCTCTTTTCTTTTTTTTTGGAAGTTGCTGTTTGACAGATATTGAGCATATTGTCAACTAAAACCCTAAGTCCTTTTCCAAGGTTTTGTTGCTATGCCAGATCTTTGTCCCAGAAGCAGGATTGGCCATGTGTCCAAGGTTGTTTTAGCTTCTGGTTCTGTCGGCTAGTTTGTTAGCCTGAGCACAGGGACCATGACTAGTTTTGCTTTACTGCTGTATTTCTTGCACCCCAGACAATTTTTTACTTACAATAAAAGTCATCCACAGATTTGATAAACATGCTACCCATATTTTCATGCAAATCACTGAAAAGATGAGAAAGACCAGGCAGATGAGTACAGTCAACAAACTGCACCAACCACCAGCTCCCTTACAATGAAGAGTCGGCACCCATCAGTGGTGATCTTCAACCTGTTTCAGTATTATATACTGTTGCTTTGACTGTCCTGAGAACATCAGGAAAGACCGTTGTCTGCCTCACCAACATGAAAGATGCCATCCTCGTCCTCTTTCCCACATCTAGTCCAGTAATGGCGTCTGGGAGGAAAGCGCTTGGTCTTCCCAGTGACTTCACGCAGCAGCCTGGAGATCACCACCTGCCCCTCTCATGCTTGTTAAAGCCCTGGAGTTCCCTGGAGAAGGCATCATGGAAATTCTCATCCAATGTCAGCAGAGTCCTTTTTTCACAGAATAAAAAAAGCCACCAGAGCATGATGTGATGCATAAGGAAATCTGTTAGCACTCTATGAGACCAGCATCTCCTTTCATGTAAACTACTCTAGAGAGAATTTGAGAAGCTATAATCACATTTCTACAACTACACTGCGGACTTAATGATGTCTTTTGAGACTCTGTGAAGTGCGAGGCATTTGCATTTATCATCGCCCACCATCCAACACCCCCGCCAGGTAGGTATTGTCGTTTCTGTTCCAAAGATAAAAAGTACAAAGTTATTTGCCCAGGGTCATTGCTGGAAAGCAGCACCAGCTGTTTCAAGCCACACGTTCTCCTTCTGTGCAGGGTAGAGCCCACACTTTGGATGCCTCTCCCATTTCGTGGCACATTCAGCCAAAGCCTGAGAAATCTCCGAGGGCCCAGGATGTAAACTCCTGGGTCAGGAGACTTCACCTCACACAAACAACTGGGTGTCTCAGCACATTCTGTCCTGTACAGTTCTTGATGAAAAATACAGATGCAGAATAGGATTTGAAAAGTTCTTCCACTTCATCATACACAGACTTTATCAAAATTCTGAGTTGTGAGCCTCTTTGGTTTTGTTTTGCCCTGACTCTGATCTGATCCTAACCCAAAAAGCCCTTTTGGTTGTCAAAGTATATGTATCATAGAAAATTCCTAGAAAAAGCACCCTCCTATCTAGTAGAATTTGATTGTTTTTCCAAACCTAATGGAAAAGTAACTAATGGAATATGTACATCTAAGCAAAGGAAGTTATCATTGGTCAGCTACCTCCTTTTCAAGGTCTCCAACTTGAGTGATGAGTTTCATCAATTTTATTCTACCTAAGAAAGCCGCATTGCGTTTGGTAATTGTAAAGTGGTTGACATTGTATTGTATTACATGATTTCTTTTATCAAAATAAGCATGGCATTTTAAAGCATGGTTTTTGAAAGATATAGTTGAGGCAAAGATAACATCATATACATTTGATATTTTAGAAAAGAGAGCAATCAAGTGAACTCCAACAATTCAGAGAAGCTGGAGCAGAGCCAAAAGTGGTGAGAAAAAGGAGGGTCTCCCTTTGAGGCTGAATCGCAGTGGGAGGGAAAAGGAGAGAAAAGATCTGTGGCGTGAAGTTGTTTTCTATCAGTAATAATCCTGAAATTAGAAGTACTAGCCAGACAAGTGTAAGCAACAGTTGATTAACCCATGATTACAAATGCACTGCTCAAAAGTCAGCCATAGTGGCTGTGGATGTAGCTCAGTTGTAGAGTGCTTGTCTCTCATGCACAAGGCCCTGGGTTCAATCCTCAGCACAACAAAAAAAGAAAAAGACCCTCAGCCATATGTAAGATGTTATAACAGGTCACATTGGTTTTACATTAGGAACAACAGTACACAGTGTTTTTCTTTTTTAAATCTTTGCTACTTAATTTGGTATTGCTTATTTGGTAAACTAGCTGAATTATGTTATATCACAAAAATTCTGATTTGGAAGTTTTGCACAGGTTCAATTTGAAATTGAACATCAGTCCTATTTCCAGGCTCACTATCAAGAAACTGACTTTAAATAATTCTTTTAACTTTCCAAGCACTATGGGTCAGGAAAGAGAATTTGATTTGTTGTTTTTTCCTTCATTCCTGATGGCAGTGTTTTTTTTTTTTATTCTTTAATCACATATGCATGGACTTTACATGTAATGTACGTTACTTAAATGTAAATGTGACTAAATTCCACTCTTCCTAGAAGAAGGCAGGGACTGAAGGAGGTAGAGCACATGATGTTCCAGGCCAGGGTTTTTAGCTCCACTGTAGAGAACCACTGACTCAAGTTCAAAGTATGTCAGTGGACTCAAAAATACAGCCTCCTGAACTGGAGGCCACAGAGCCTGGCGGGCTCGGTCCTGCTGGCTGGAGCCGTCCCCAGCTCCACCACTTCACTTCTTATTTCACTAATTTCTTTGTGCCTCGGCTTCTCCATCTGCAAATTGGAGATAATCACGCCTACTTCTTGTTACAGGAATTAAACAAATTAATACACTTGAAATGCAGAACAGTGCCTACCACTTGATAAGCCTTTGTAATTATCAGCAGAAGTCAGGAGGTCCCCTGAAGCCGCATGCAATGACAAAATCAGTTTTTCTTCTAGAAGCTGTCACTGTACATGTAGCATTGGCAAGGTCACAGCTAATTAGGAGAGGATGACTTCCGCCCAACTTGAGTCAAGGTCCATCAGAGCAGAGGCTGCGCAGCAATGCAAGCAAGAGATGAGGAGGCCTGGACTGTGGGATCAAGAGAAGCAAGAAACACTGGGCTGACATGAAGTTCCACATCAGGCCTTGATCACCATTGGCTACTGAAGAAGAAAGGATTCAGACTCCCAGGTTCCAGGCTGAGAGACAGGACAGAGAAAAACGAGTCCCCAAATCTCTGATGCCTGTACATGTCCGAGAAAGTCCCGGTAAACAGCGTCTTCAGCGAAGGCTGGAAGGCAGAGCTCGCGCAGCAGCACAGGGAGCAGGGGAAGGCCTGTGGCTGGGGTAACCGCCTCTATGAGCTTGCATCCTCTTCCAACGACCAGGACAGCAAACTCCTAGGTGCCAGAGCACATCATCTAATGCAGTTCTGAGCATTAAGGGTAAATCCTGTTGAAGATTTCAACCTTGACATCAATGGAGAAGTTTGTTGCAGATGGCTAATGTTTCAAAGGTGGAAACCATTTCCTAACTGACTTGGATGAAAACACAAATGTGAGTCCCTGGTGCCGCGTTTCCAATCACAGATTGCTTGGTTACTGATGACAGGCCCTTCCTTTGGCTCCTAGGGACTTAATTTCCCTAGGGAACTATTGTGGTTATTCAACTTTAAGACCTAGTAGGAAGAATCACAGTTATTCGTCTCTAGGGTCTTGGAGCAAGCAACGTAGAAGTAAATAGTCGCTAAGGAGAAATGAGCAAGGCCTTAGCAAACTCAACAATTAATGCTAAAGAAAAAACACTGGGAACATGTTTAATTGACTGGGACAAAAATGAAACCCAGTTGTGGCCTCTTCAGTCGACAAGAGAATGTGAAAGCAACACCAGTCCTGCTGTCCAAGCAACAAAAAGGAAAAGTGCACTTCGGTGTCTGTGATTTCTCACATGGTGGTTATGCAAGGCTGACTTCCAGGAAGGAAAACGAGGAGGCCCAGTTCTGCCAAGGCCTAATGCTGTGACCCTGCACAAGTCTTTGTGGGATACAGTTGCTCTTGTTTATCCTCATGTCCCAGCCGTCTGTCATCAAGAGTACTTAATGGAACCACTCTTTGAAAAATTATTTTCTAAAGCACTTTGAGTACGACCTTCCCATCCTTCAGGAATCACATTTTTTGCCTCAGCAGCCTCATCAGTTAAAAAGTAATGTTCAGTGAACGACCTGTTCCTAGTAATAAAAATTACAGCCCACACTTACTAGATGCCTACTGCTGCATGCTCTCTCTGAGATAATCTGTGAATTTGCTTTAACTGTCACAACCCTAGTTAGAAGCAAAATGTCACCCTCTTTTACAGATGGGAAAACCACGGCGTGGTTGGTAAACTAGTTCAGCCTTAAAATGGTCTCTCTGATCCTAAAGTCTACGTAGCCTCTACAAGTAGATTTTTTTTTCAGATCCGAAATTGTATTCCGGGGATAAGAACTCCAGGTGGAAAAACTAAAACCCACCATTATCATCAGCCACCAGAGCTGAGCCAGAAAGAGCCCAGGGAACTTGTACCTATCTCCTGCCATCCGCAGTGTCCCCTTCAACTCATCCCTGAGCTGAACTGCAAGACAGTAAACACCCATTTGGGGCTGCTAAGTCACATAGGCCTTTAAATACGTAGCAAAAGCAGATTTCAAGACACTTAAAAATGTATTGCAAAATGTACAGCATTTATTCACATACAGACAAAAAGGCACAAATTCTACTAAATAGTTCAACAAAAAAATACAGCTGTCCTCAACTAGTTTTATAAATACTTTCAAAAAGGGGGGTAGAAATAAATACAGGATAGGGCCATGTAATATAAAATAGTCATCTCTACATATACTTTGTTTAATTTCTGATTTTTAACTCTTCATGCACCTTTTTTTTTCGATTTTAGCTGAATGGACACCAAGCTAGGCACATAGTGAAAAATACTCTGTGCAAGGTTACAAATGTAATGACAAGTTTGTCCATTTCAAAATAATTAAGATTTGTACACAACACATAAAACCCTTCATTTAGATTTTGTGTTTATAACCTAACAAATGACATTCCAGGCAACTTTACAAAAAGTTTAACTAGCCTACATTTTGACATAATACATTGATCATAATCAAAGATATTTCTTGGTCAGGATGCACAAGGAAAGATAAAGGAGAAAAAAAAAAGAAAAAGCAAATGGTTCCATACTAATAGAATGTGAGTGGGTGGGCCGGGCTGGCTGCTGCTATGGCCACTCACACAGAGCTCCCAGCGCGACACGAGACTAACCTACAAAGCTCTCGTTACACTGTCAGAGAAACCGTGCTCTATACCATTTGCATTTCGAAGCAGGAATAAAAAGTGTGGGCTTTTTATTATTTTTGTGTTTTGTTTTTGTGTGGGGTTTTTTTATTTATTTTTTGTTTGTTTTTTTTTTTTTTTTTTTTTTTTTTTTTTTTTTTTTTTTTGGTTTAGCATAACTTGGAACATTTTGAAAGCTTTTCAACCTAAACGTGGGGAAAAACAGGTAAGGCATTATTTTTGCACAAAACTAGCATTCCTAATAGTGCAAATGAATCTGATACCTCTTAAAATGGTGAGAGGTCATATACTTACTAGATTAATTTAGATTTTCTTTCTATGGCTTAACAAATTATCCCTCTATAAATCCTACTCTCACCCAGAGCTGCTGCTGCAATCAAAAGTTCATAACTATATAGAGTCCAACCTTCTCCTGTGTCCAGCAAAAGGGTTTTGCTCATATTAAAAAAGAAAAAAAACTTTTTAATTTTTAAATTATGCTACGAGCAAATGTACAACTTGGATTCCTAAGAACCTTCTAATATCCGTAGCAAAAAGCTGATCTGGACAGCAGTCTTTCAAACTGAGCCCCATAGCTCAAAAATAGTCAATCTAAAAACCTGGGTTGTTCTTTCCCCTCCCCTGAATTAGCTACTACAATGTACTTGAGAAGTCAAGACTTGGTTTGGAAACATCATACACACAATGGGGTGCATTGGATCTACTATTCGATCATCTGATAAAACTTGCATAGCAAGATGGAATTCAATAAGCCTTTTTGTTGTTGACAATCATCTGGAAGACTTGAAAGCTAACTACAGAACGCAAAGCATTATTCATTAAGCATCAGAATGTCCCTGCCACATGGAAACAGATGTGTAAATGAATCAGGAATCTCAATCCTGGTATTAACAAACTAAGGGGCAATTTAGGGAAAGCTGGGCTTGTTCCAAATGCCCATAATTCTAAATCTCATTACTATTTAAACTTTCCTTCTCATAAGTTTGATTCACAACTACATTGGATTCCAAAGAAAATTAACAGTACCTTAACACTATCCACTGTCTTAATACACACACTCCAGCGAGTGCAAAAACAGAACATTGTACTCAAATTGAATGCTAAATTATTGCTGATAACTTACTAGTTATTGCCATTTGCAATTAGAAAGTCCAAGTTACAAATGAGAGTGCAGAGCTCTGACTCCAGGAAACCTGCGCAGGGCACACCTCAGTCTCCTTCCTGTTCAGCCTCGGTCAATGGTAAGAGCTTATCGCAAGTTATTGCCTTTCTATTGTTTTTAAAATATAACCTATTTCACTTTATTCTTTTTTTTCCTTTTTTTTTCTTTTTTTTCCCTTTTTATTAAGGAATCCCTTCATGTTGGAAGCCCAGATCCCCAACATATGCACTAGTGGTGAGCTCTGGGAAGTACCAGTCACCAGAGTCTGAAGTTCATCACTTGAATTGAATAGCCAGGTGGCCAGGTCCTGGCAATGGCCAGGGGAAACCTAAGCTGGCCCAAGAGCCAGTGGTCAAGGAAGAGGAAAGTCAGAAGGACTGGTGAAAGTGGGACTCCAGCTGCCCTTTCTCACAGACAGAGAACTTTCTAGGTGGCTTCGCTCTCTGCCAGTCCTGCATCCCACATCCACTCACAGGCTTCAGGAGCGAGGCCTCTCCAGGCGCAGCAGCTCTCCCCCTCCTACAGTGACTCCAGTAATGACTCTTTAAATTCTCTTCCCTGGCTGCTGGGTGTCGCTCAGGGTCAGAGCTGCTGCCTCTGTCTATGCAGCAGAACCGCCTTGTGGGCCACACCATTTCAAGGCTGACCACAGTCCTAGAAAACGAGCTCTGTGGGCTACAATTGGTACGAGAGGGTTTGTTCTGTAAATGTATTAATTCATTAGAGTTCTATCTGATTCTGTATACTCGGGGAACCAGGAGTTTGTGCTTTGGGAAGAATGCAGAGGGCAACAGACATCCACGAGGCGTGGGTAAGCCTTGCCCTCGTCCACACTGACTCCACTCATCCTGTGTAGTGTTTAATTCAGGTGCTGATCTACCATGTCTTACGGTTACAATCTACTCTTCTGTCTCCTCAACAAGCTGCAAATAACACAAACTTCTCACAACGATGATTTATAAATGACTGGAAAAAAATTCAATCTGAATTGTAAAAATGTGTTTGTGTAGCTAAGGAATAAAGGGCTTCTGCTTGTCCCCGCCACCAGACCTCCCCGGCACAGGGCGACAGGCCAGGGGTCAGGAGGCCAGGATGCTCCTCCTGATGATGTCTGTCCTCCTGCTGATGGTGCTGCTGGCATGGACACACTTCTTCTCCGAGGCCTCGCTCTCCGAGTCACTCATTTCTGCGTCGGGGACATACCCGTCATTCTCGCTGTCAGGCTTTAATTTGCTTTTTGCTCGTTCCTTGGCTGGAGCTCGGCCTAGGCCCAGGTAGGGGTAGTCTGAGTGCTGGTGGCAGGTGCCCTCGAGGGCCTCTCCCTGCTGCTGCCGCTCCCCCTTCTTTGGAATCCGGAACCCCCCCCAGTCTTTCCCTGGGCTGGCAGGTGTTGTAGGCACTTGGACTGTGGTCTGACTACAGGTCACTCTGACTAGGGAGCCATTGCACCTGGGCACCATGTCCCTCCTGGCTCCAGGCGCGGACTGCCCCCCTCCAGGGGAGGGGGTGGCTCTCGTGCTGTCCAGATGCCTCTGGGACACATCTGTGGACCTGAGAGGCTTGTGACTCTGTTTAAAAGGCCTGTCCTTCAAGTCTCCTTTAATGAGATCACAATGAAAACGATTGTCTCTTCTTTTCCCGTGGTCTGGTGTCACCACACCATTTTTCTGTTGTGCTGATATGAGACGTGCTTCTGCAAAGGTCTTTTCAAAACTCAGAAAGCTCTCTGGGACCCCCAGCCCCTCCCTCACGCTGCACAGCTCTGGCTGCCGGGGCAGGGCCTTGCCCTCGCCCCCACTGCTGTTCTGCAACAGGTCTCGGTTATGGGGCTTTTTCAGGGAATGAACCAAGGAAGTACCCATTTGTTTCCTGAAGAACGCAGAATGCCATTTCAAGTCCTCTATCTTGGGAGCGTCGGGACCCACAGAAGGACTATTAAACAGAAGCATGTGTTCCAGGGAGAAGGAGGAGCAGGAAGAAGAAGGCACACCTGTGAACACAACAAAGAAGGGTCACGAGGGGCAGACCCACAGGGAAAGTCCGGCTCCTTGGCGTCGCCCAGTTGACACAACTCTCCCCTCCAAAAGCACGACACACGGCCACCTACTCTGTCTTAAGAATCTGCATTTGATATGCAGACATTTTTCTAAAGTAGCTGAAAAACCGTATAATTCTTCACAGGAAAAAAAAAATCCTTTCCAAGGACTACATTTTTCTTCAGACAAAATAACTGATCTGATTTTCAAAGGAGAATCCAGGCAAGATCTGTCAGCGGGTCCCTGGCTGCCATCTCCCTCCTCTGGTTACAGCAACCCTGCAGTGGGCGGCTCCCCAGCCAGCAGCCACCCGCTGGGACCGGAACACAAAAGGGCAAGCTGGGGCTTCTTTCTCCCAAGTGCCCACACCTTAGCAGGGTTGTTACGAGGATAAACATGTGTCTACAATGCTGTGCAGTAACTTTAAAACCGTCCAAGGCAAAGACCCCTGCCTCCCACCGAAGGCTAACCTCAGATCTCTAAAATCCTGGTGCTGCCAGGTTCTGGGGCTTAGGATCACAGAATGTTAAGGCCAAGAGGCACTTAGAGGTCATGGTTCTACCCCAAGCCTCTCCCAGGCAAAGGAACCCCAGGAAGGTAGAACAACTTTGCCCTTGATCTCCCAGTAACTGATGCGCTTTCCACAGCAGATGTAGATCCCTGTGTGCTTTTCTGTACTGCCTCACCCCGAGCAACACAAGACAGAAAGCACTAAATAACACCTGGTGCTCAATGGAAAAGAGTCAAACTCCATCTACACAAAGAAAAGGCTACTGTGGATGTCATCTGAACAAGTGTCATAAGCACACTTTTAAGACAATACTTGTAATACGCTGCAGGTAGCTGCAAAGGCTAGATGATCTATAAACAAATCCGTCTGTGTCCCCACGATACATGTATCCAGAGCTCTGCCCTGGCTACGTATCGCCCTGGAGTCTCCTGACCATTCCAGAAGGGGGTCGAGACGCCATCCCCACCTTCCAGGGGGAAGAAGGTGAGGATTAGACTTGGCTTCTGTGTACTCAGGGCCCAGTCTGCACCTTGCTCCCCTGCACCGCGATGCCGCTAATGCCTGAAGATCCTCTGTAAATGTGGAAATCTGTGCTGCCTGGTTTTTTTTTCCTTCTTCCCTATCAAAAAGCGAAGCATTTGTCCCTCAGCTGGCGTGGAGGGCAGACCCTGCCCATGTTTCGGCCTTCGGGGCATGATGCCTACCTGAAACTCTTTCTTGCTCCAAGAGCTTAGTGTACAGACTGAACATCTGTTCCTGGACTCTGCACACAGATCGCTTGATCTTTTCCCTGCGGGTCACCATGTAAGTGAGGTTCCGGACCTAGAACGCAGAGGACAAAGATTCTAAGTGAGTGATACAGTCACGATCATGGATACATGGTGCTTTTTAAAATTTTCTTTAACTGCGAGAAATTGGTTCTACTCAGGCCTCAACAGACATTTGAAATCAAAATGCACTTTCAGCATTTTGCCCAATCTCCTATCTCCTTTTGGGAGGACAAGAAGGTTCTGCTCCTTCCCCCGAGCTGGACAGCAGAGTCTGGAGAGCTGGGGCTGGGAGCTGCAGCCTGGCTGCACACAGCCTTCCGGCTCCCATGCCCAGCCCCGGGGAGGCCCTGGCATCCAGTCCAGGCTCCACTTTCCAGCCGCCAGCCATGTCTTCCCATTAATCTACTGCCAACGAGCTTCAGCGCCATTCACAAGCCACCTGTGCCCCGCTGTGCCTCAAGTAGGTGAGCACAGGGTCCCCTGGAAGACCAGTCACCAACAACTCCAGGAAGCTTCTTGTCCACTGGACTCTCAACGCCACTGGAAGACCTGGCCCCCAGGAGTCACAGCACCAGGCCGCCTCCCTCCTGCTCTGCCAGCCGTAACTGGCCAGTCTCCAGTCCAGCTCCATCTTTGTCTCTTGGAAACTGTCGCTGCCCTCTCCCCGATTCTTCTGTAACCGAGACGCCAGTGCTAGAGCTCTGCTTCACAGGCAGCGTGTGGCTGGGGCGGGTCATGCCCGCGCTCACTAAGCCACACGCAAGTGACTCAAAGTTCAATGGTCAGCATTCCGCCAGCTGCCATCACTCCAACAGCACCAAGACCTAGAGAGTCGGCCACTGACCCCACTGACCCTCCGTGCTGAAGTCTACTAGCGATCCTCACTAGGCCGAGTGTGCTGAAAGCACCAGCGTCAACCACGGCGCACCAGCGGGCCAGCTCGGCCCGGCCGCAGGAGGGACAAGTGCATGCCCTCACGCTCCCGAAACTTCCCCTGCAGCTTTCAACAGAGAAAGCTCAAAGGCCTCCACCCTTTTATTCCAGCATAAGGACAAGCCACACACCGGACAGACACAATTTTTTTGACGTTCGTCTCCGACCTCTGTCAGCCGCCGCGATTCAAGCTGTGTTCAGGGCAGTCTTGTTTGCCAAGGAGCGGGACACGCGGACTGAGACACAGCCCAGGTTGGCTGGCTTGACACGGGCATCCTGGGCCCATCTCCCGGCCCCAGCAGGAAACGGCCAGGTCAGCTGGCTCTGCCCTGCACACCTGGCCACCAGGGTCTTCCTATCTTTGTTCCTACATCAATCCCTTATGTTACTAATACTTCACTGTTAAACCCATATCTGTTTTTTTTAATTAAAGAACTCAGAAGAAAATCACTGAGTAAACCTCATGTGTCTTCAGCCTGGTTAAAGGAACTTCCTTCTCTAACAGCCACCCCCCCCCCAAGCCAGGGAGTAGGCACCTTTACAGAAATCCTGACCACCATGGGATGCGGTGGCTGGCCGTGTTCCTCACTAGTCACTGTTCCACCCAGATGAGATAAGGAGTGGAAGCTCAGAAATGAGAGGCCAGCTCCATCCTTACCGCAGACAGACTCGACACTTGTGGAAAACACGACGGTTTTCACACTCAGAAACCCCTTCCTAGGAACCAAGCAGCCCTTGCCAGACAGCTCGACAGCTGAACTGAGGGCCATGCATTCATTCTCCAGGCTCATCCTACTGTTCCTTCCACTCAGACTTGCCACCGTCTGCCCCAGCGGCCCTCAAGGAGACACCAAAAACAAAACCCAACCAGCTCACGGTACACACTCACGTAAAACCCTCCTACACTTTCCCCTAAAGCAGTGATTCCCACACACACGAGGGCCCTAAATAGACTGCGGATCCCACCTGTGACTCGAGAGTCTGCAGTTCTGTTTTCAGTAGCTGCTGCTGCTGCCCAGGTACCACACCCCAAGAACACTGCCCTGAGAATCTGGGTTTTCTGGAATCCCAAACTTGCTTGCAACACTGAAGCTTAACATGCCTTTAGATCAGGGGACTGTTTGTGTCCTCTATCAGATCTTCCTTTTCAAAGATGACCATTCTGCTGAGTGACTTACAAGTAGGACTGTGCCCCTGACGTACAACCAGAGTGCAGAGGGAGATTGTTTTTATGGCAACAAGCCCTCATTTTCCAAACGCATTTTTACTCCATGTTTTTAAAAAGATATTCAGGGGGGAAAAGTCCCACCAGAGTGAAGTGACAGCCTTGGGGACCTGAGTGGCCACCCGCCCCATCAGCAACCTTGCCTTCTGAAAGCTATGGATTCCCAAAACCTCCTGAAGTTCACTCCTGTCATCTGACTTTCTGATCCAGAACTGGTGACCAGGAGTGCGAGGCCCCAAGGCGTGAACTTGCGGCAAAGAGCAATTACCACAACCACTCAGCAGTCTGCGTGGCACGGGCTGTCTGCCAGCTCAGGAACGGTCCCATGGGGCTTCGTTATGCTCACGTAGCACCTATTCCTGGTGTCGGCCTGCCACAGTGGAGACTCAGGCAGAACACCAACCTCCGATTTGTCCTCATGTCGTCCCTGCCCTGAATCGGCTGGCCTGGCACACTTAGGCTCATAATCACAGACTGCGCTCTCTGGGGCGTGGCAAAGATTGACTTTTCTTAAAACCTCCATCGTCAGAGGGCTCATGGCAAATTTGGGGCAAGATTTTTCATTATAAGAAGCCCATTTTTAAGCCTATGCTAAAGTCCCCTAAATTCCCTTCAGTTTCTTAATAATGAAATAAATAAATGTAATCAATGCCACACACGCACACACACGAATCCTGATTTATTCCCTGTTTCTCATACATGATAGGCGGTGTTCTACTTAAAAAGCAAGTGACAACTCCAAAAAAAAGTTCAGTATTTAATTGTAAGTGCATGTTAATCTGAGTGACTTACGTACAGAAAAAGAGTTAGTACACCACAAGCATTTTCTACACTTTTATTCTGTGGTGATTGAGACAAACACAGGCCAAACATGAGACTCCTAGCCCTCCCCTCCCAGGACTGCCTGCCTCCACGCCCCTGATGACAGCAGTGTTCAGGTCCCAGCTCCTCCCGGGCTCCAGCTCAACCTCCAGAACCCTTCCCGTCATCTACAGCGCAGGGGAGGACGTGCAGGGAGCCGGGGCTCTACACTCACCACTAGGGGGCGTGTGGCGGCTCACCAGCCTGCTCTGGCTCCAGGCGCCCGGGGCTGCAACCTGGCCTGCCCAGAACCTACCCTGGTTTAGGAAGGGGCAGCACAATAAGCTGGAGGAGATTGACGCCAAGAGGATCTCTGGTGAGCATTCAACTTGCACTTTCACACCACCCGACAGGGCCGACAGGGCCACACGGCTCCCTCAGACCCCTGGGCCTTTCCGCTAAAGCCCTTGTGCAGCTTCTCCCTCCTCTGCCTCCACTCTGATTCCCTATCACTTGTGACTCACTCCTCACTAATAAGTGAGGTGCTTGAGAGAAATGCATTAACTGTGTGCAGCCACTGGGGTGCCCTACAGTGCAGGCTGCGGGGCCAGGAAACCTCAATGCTGTCTCCTTCACACTAATGAATTTAATCAGTAGCTAGCAGCCAGGGGAGTTGGATAGAGGTGCTCTAAGACACATCCCCAATTAGCAAGCCTCAGTCAACCCTACCCACAGGAGCAGGAGCCCACGCCCCGGTGGGAGAGGCAGCCCTCTCCTAATTACTCCTGTGCTGGGAAGGAGGGTCCAGGCGGGACTTCAGGGGCAATGGAGAGTGGGGGAGGCAGCGGCGGTGGCAGCGGCAGCAGCTGATCCAGTGGTGTGACCACAGCGGGTGTATCTGTAGTGTGCCGAGCATTACGAGGGCTCCTCAGACAGATCTGAAGCCCCGTGCACCGGGATCCCACCCTCACCAGACACACAGACGCACACACGCAGGCACATGAGCCACATGCAGCCTTGGGATGACTTAGCACCTCACTGCCAGGAGTGTCTTCTGTAACAGATGTGCGTGCTGCTAAGTTCATGCACACGTGAGCACACAGCCTGCTCTGCTGGGTGACAATGCTGGAAGGCCCCTGGAGATCAGCCAAGAAGCCAAGGGGGGGCCAGGGAGGGCAGCACGTGGCTCTCCACACCAGCCCTCACCAGCACCTGTATCTCCCCAGGCTGACAAGACATTTCCCTACCTCTGCCCCCTCCCCCTGCATTAAATCCATTCCAGTTTTCAAAATCAGTCTCAAACAATTGAGTCATCCCCTTGGTCATTTTCCTGGGGCTCAGTTCCCTCCAGCTCTAGAAAAGAGGGGAAAGATACACCCATCTGATCTTGCAGAACAATAAAGATTAATGGGAAAGTGTTTAAAGAAAGGGGTCACAAAGCAGCTCCCGCTCTGTGGCAGTCTTACACGTGTGCACAGTGAGCTGACAGCCCGTGAACACATTAACCACCAACACCTCATGCCGAGGTGCGCACGGGGCTGGGAGCAAGGACTGGCTATTATTTCTTGCTCTGGGCGAGCATGCGCCTCTTTGCATCTTCTTCTCTAAGTCACTATAAGGTGTCAGTGTCAATCATTACCCTCTCCAGGTCCTGCCGCAGGTGCGTGAACAGCTGCAGCCTCCTAAACAAGACATCCTGCTCCCGCTTGGCTAGATTGTCCTCTTCGTCTTTCTTTGGGGTGATCAGAGGCTTGTTGAAGTTGACCTTCCTCTTGAGCTTCCAGTATTGGTACAGGAAGTCCACCACTTCCTCAGGCAGCCTCAGGGCTCGGGCCACGTCCAGCAGGTTGACAAAGGTGTAGAACCCATCCTCCAGCTGCTGCAGCTTCTGCTTGCGGACGCTCACCCGGTGGGCCTCCTCCCGGTTCTGCTCCAGACTGGCAAAGGGCTCCAGCGGATTCCGGGGGGAGCCCTCGGGGGCCCCGTTCTCCTGCGCGGCCCCCTCACCAAGGCTCTCCTCAGACTTCCGGTGGGAGCTGTGCTTTGGGCAGTAGGACTTGAACTTGACTTCATCGTTCTCTGCCAAGATAGTCTTCATTTCCAGGCCCCGGTCAAAAGCACAGGTCACATGGAAGGCCGTGCGGCAGTTCTTCACGGAGCACTGCAAAGAACACACAGCAGAGAGAGGACTGTTAAGGAGCAGCAGACCAGGGCCCTCGGTGCTGGGCACCCAGACGTGACCCCTAGGGGCGCATTCAAGAATGCAGTGTGGCAGGAGAGGGTGACAAGGCCGGGCCCTGGCAGACAATGCCAGGTGCCATGTAAAGTAGGTGGGGACTTCAGGGGCTCTCCAGATGGACGCTCATGAACCAAACCAAACTGCCCTCTTCTTAGGAACAACCATGTCCGTGACCATGCAAATGACACTCATGACAAGGGTGCATCATGCTCAAAGTAGCAGCTGCTCAACACGCAGAGCACACGCTGGAGCACTAACCTGGCTTTCCTCAGGGACAAGAGGAAGGTGTTTTGGGAACAATCTGGACAAGAGTCCCCCCAGGACCAATGACTACTTGTCGGGTTTTAAAAGGAAAGTGAATCCTCACTCTGACCCCACAAGTGGGAAGATAAATGCCACACTCCCTTGAAGCAGGGCCCAGGGGTCAGAGCAGAAGGTGCAAAGGAGACAAGAAGGCGCAGCCCAGGATGGAGGCAGGCCCTGCCAGCACAGAGGCTCCCATGAGCCCAAGGGGTAGATGGGCACCACAGGGACCACGTCCTATGGCCACAGGGAAGTCACTCTGAAGGCCAGGCCACAGCAAGGTTGCTGACTGCCTTGCCGCAGCGCCTGCTATGGTTCAGACCACAGCCTCTGGCCCAGCAGGAGCCAGCGATCAGCGGCTTCTGATCTCACTGAGCAAATCCCTGGAAGGAGGTTCCTGGTGGAGGCTGAAGTCAGTCCTCTAGAGCAACACTGCCTGTGTGAGGCCAAGAGACCCCAGGGCATGCCAGCAGGCAGGGGAGCAGAACCCGTGGCTCCAGGCCACCGAGCAGCTGAACTCACTCAACAGGCTGAGTCACAGAGCCAGGAGGGCAGGGGCTGCAGCAGGGCGCGTACTCCTAGTCACTTCAGCATTTCACTCCACGCCAGCTGTGATTTTGCCCACTGCTATAGCCATCCAGCACCCTCCACCGTCCCCATCCCCCTCCCCCATCCCCCTCCCCCTCACCTACAGCACATGAAATAAACTCCTAGTTCTATCTGTAAATAACCTCAATTCCAAGGAGTGTGTGACAGCAGCTCTGGCGACAACACACACACACACACACACACACACACACACACACACACACACACACACACACCCCTACCTGGCCACTGTCAGAGTCAGGGTGTTCCTCCCACAGCATGCGCCAGTGGGAGGCTAAAGTGGTGACAGATGCCAGAGACACTCTCCAAGTCTGGCTCAAGCCACACTTAACCCAGCCGTCTGCCCCTAAAGAGAAGCACCGCTGTGCACACCCAGGGCTGGAAGGGCCAGAGGCCGTGCTCGGGGCCTTCCCACGCAGGCTGACTCAGCACCAGAGCCTCCACAGCTGCACACACCACAGAGAGGAACTCTTAATAAAATCACCCATTCTGGGAAGATGGGAAAAACCATCAGCCTCCCCGGGCCTCTTCTTCAAATTAATGTTCTGGGAAAAAGAGGCCAACAGTGCAGAAGAAACACCACATCCTCTCCTCATAGGGATGCCCAGCGCCCATTTGCAGGTCTCTTAAATTCAACTGAGGACCAGGAAAGGGTGCGCAGGACAGCGCATCCACGCTGCACTCAGAACACCAGCTACCCCAGAAGCAATGGTTCCCCCCAGCAGGCCACCAGGGCCTCCCACAAGTAAACACGCACGCACACACCCACTGGAAGCCTGTTAGCTTCTCTGTTCTCCTTGCCCAACTCAACTCTCAAACCAGAGGCATTTCTGCCCTTTAGTTTTTTAAGATTCTATTCCCAGTCAGCCATTTTGGTATCAGCCAAAACTTAAAACTGGCTTCGCCAACAAAGCCATGTATCTCTGAGCCCCAGGGCCCCGAGCCTGGCACTGTCTACTCTGAGCTGCTATTCTCTGCACGGAGAGGAGCTGCCCTCCAAGTGTCTCTGCTCCAGGAACTCCACACCACTCGCAGGCCTGAGTGAGGACCGTGCGATGGCCAGCTGGAGGACCAGAGGCCCCTGCGGAGCAGTCCAGGCACCCTGGCAAGCCGGCAGCACACACGCTGCCCCAGTCTCTCTCATCCACCAGCTCTGGGACCCGCTGACCTGTTCTGGACAAGCAGGAGTGCTGCTCTCGGTCCCTCACGCACTCACGGCCACAGTGCCGTGAAGAATCAGATAACAACCTGGGCCAAGAGCACCCGCAGGGCACCTCGGATGCCCCTCCACCCAGCAGGCGCCAAGAAGTGTGTTTCTGCCGGTGTGGCGGCAGCACCCAACCCCACAGCCTGGAGAGGTGGCCGCAGAGGTGCGCTGTGGCATGCTGAGCCTGCAGGCGGGGAGACTCCCGTGCCCCAAGTGAGGCATGTAGGAAAACTGGGTTCTCTGTGGAAGGTGTCTCTCTGCACAGGGGCTGTGACACCAGGCTTGGGGTAGCAAGGGAAGGACCAAGACAATCTGGAACTGCCTCGCCACTCAGGCAAACTTCCAGGTAACTGACAGTGTTCCTGCGGACAGGAGCCATCCCGTCCCTGGGAAGGGCGGTCACCCCTCACCCTGGGTCCTGCAGCTCCTCCCGCAGGAGCCTGAGGGGACAGTCTCCCTCACCTGCTACCCACAGCGGGGAAGGAAGCCAGCCCTTCTTCCTAGGCGACGTACCTGTATGGAGGCCCCGAACTTCTCGTTGCAGAGGCTGCACACGAGCGCCCACCGGCTACTGGGGATGTGAGACACCTTTGTGATGGGCTCCATCTTCTCGGGGCTGCCAATGCTCACCTGGAAATCAGAGACAGCAGAACGGAGACAGGCCATCAGGGCCAAGTGTGGCCATTCAAGACTCACAGGTTCTTGACTTCCCGCAACAGGTGAGCCCTCAGGGACCCCAGGGGCAGACAGGAGAGCCCCAGCCCTGTCCCCATCTGATGGAGACAAGTTCCATGACAAAACATTTTCGTTTATCATTTAAGGGTGCGATGACCAAGACTCTCGTGGGTCAGGACCATGCAATCTACTATGCCTCTGATTCGAGGAATGTGTCAAGAATAAAAAGCCATCTTAAATATATTTAAATAGACGACCGAGAATGGAGTAAGTAAATACATAAGCTATTTTAATCTCTCTCACTAAAGAAAACCATTTTCTTCAGTTGTAACACAGACTAGATTCAAAGTGGAAATCCACCAAAGTCAACAGGAGTCCACTCCACGTTCAGTGAGGTCGCTGAACTGTATGTATCCTGTTAATGCAGAACAGGAGACCCGGCACCACCAAGACTCGGAGCGGAAACCAACACCATCCCCATGTCGTTTTCCTCAAGAGGGAAAATGAACCAGATCAGACACCAAAAATGGTGGGGTCTGAATCACAAATGATATTCTCATAGTGAGCCGTGCAAATTAAATCAGTTAAAGACTGGGACTTGAAGTAAATTAGACCAGACCTGAACTTATAAAGGTTGAGGCTGAATAAGAATTTAAATAAAAATCACAAAAGCATAACCTAGAGCATGCTGTTTAACCATGGTGGTGTCGAGTGTGAGGCTTGCCAAGCACAAGGATCCACAGGACAGCACTGCCAGGCCCAGGCCACAGCCATGGAGGCTGCAGGCCTGACCCTGCAGGTGGGCGTCAGCCATGATTCGGCACAGGTGAAGCCACCGGACACTGCCCTCTGGAGTTCACTCACTGCACCTCCAGGCAGCACTGCTACAAATTCACACTCATGACAACAGGGTGGTATGCTGCAGGTCCCAGCAAGTAAAGGTATCTTTTCACCCATCAGCTACAAGCTGCCCACATACACATGGCTCCTCATGCCCAGTCCCAAGTACCAGCCAGGGCCTTCTGAGATGAGGTGCTAGTAAGAACCACGCTTACCTCAGGGATCCACAGGGCACAGCTGACATGGACCCACTTGGTTCCGCTGCGGGTGGGCTTCATAGCACCACCCTTCTTGGGACACAGCAAACATTTTGGCTGGACTCCCAGGGCACAGGTCCGGCACAGCCAACTGCCCTCTGGCACCTTGAGGATTCCATAGCAGGCCTGTAATGCCACAGGACATCCCCAAGGAGAGGAGAGAAAATCATTGACTGTTCCCATTTTTATCAATTAATTTAAAGACACCTAGAAAGATTTTCACGGAACCACAGGCAACACAAACAGTCCCACGTCCACTGAGCAGTGACCCTCTCCCTCAGGAAACACTACTGGCCACTACAAGTCCTGCGTGGGTGTGTGCCCTAAAGACACACAAAACACGTATATGTTTAGCACAGGGTGGTCCTGCAAGCTCCAGACAGACAAGTTTTTAAGTAACCTGCTCTGCGGTGTTGTTACAAAACCCACCTACACCAAGTTTCTAGACGGGGTTTCAGTGAGTGCTCAAAGTCCCAAAGAGTCAGATGGGAGAAGCTGCCCACCCTGCTTCATCAACGAAGAGGGGTGAAGGGAGGCGAGGCGGCAGTACTATTAAAGGAGACTGAAGGTGGTGGCGGGGGACTGAAATAAACCAGGACACCTCACTCCCAAGGCTGGGCAACCTCCACCAGCCAGACCCCAACACTCTCCCACAGGAGCCGAGATCCAAAAAACAGACATCCCAGACAAAGGGAGAATTCAGTCTCTTTAGCTGATGTTTAAAAAAATAAAGCCTGTCTTGCACAAGATGGCCAAATTACACTAGAGGCATCAACTGCAGAAACCAAGGCTATTACAATTGAAATGATGAAGGTAGATGGAAGAGAGAAGAGGCAAATGTGAGCTGAGCGAGGGGAGAAAGGAAGCCAGGGCGGAACAGAAGCTCAGTCAGAGGCCTCTGAAGACCAGGCCATCAGAACCGCATCCTCGATGAACTGGAGCCGGGAGTCGAGCCGCCCGCCGTCACAGCTCCAGCTCTCCAGGCAGAGAACAGCCCTGGGCACGCTACATACCCAGGATGCACAAGGAAACCTCAGGTGCAAGGTGGGCGAGGGGGGCACCCTGCAGCTCAGCCAAGCGCGAGGCACCAACAGGCCACGCCAGCACCCTGGCGGGTAAAACAAACCCTTCGTAGTGCTGCTGGGTGACACTCTTACAAACATCAAGCCTTCTAGAGCCGATCTCAGCTCATTGAATAAAGTATGCCTTCAAGACAAGCCAGGGGGCCTCCCAGAGGAAAAATGAGGAAAGGGACAAGACAGCATGGCAGAAAGAATGGAGGAAGCGGTGTCTCCAGCTGCTGAGTGCCAGGGCCAGCTCTGCCACCACTCCTGTGAGGAGGTCCCTCCCCAGGATGGCTAGCTCATTTCTGAAAGAAGAGTTCAACCAGTTCTCCGCAGAGCCTGGACAAGGCCATAGGTGGTGAAGTCTTCAGACAAGAAGTGAAGCCAGGAAGCAGGCAGACTACTAAGAAAACGGCAATCAAGAGCTTCACGGAGCTGGGCCCAGGCACACGCCTGTAATCCCAACGGCTCAAGGGCTGATGCAGGAGAATCATCAGTTCAAAGCCAGCCTCACAGCAACTCAGCAAGGCCCTGTGTCTACATGTTATATAAAGGTTTAGGAAAGTGGATCAGTGGCTGAGCACCCCTGGGTTCAATCCCTAGTGCCAAAAAAAAAAAAGAAAGAAAGAAAGAAAGAAAGAACTTTCATGGAGCAAGTGTAGTAGCAACTACTCTGGAGGCTAAGGCAGGAGGATCACAAGTTTGAGACCGTCAAAATAAAAAGTAAAGAGGGCTGGGAAATGGTAACCCTGGGATAATCCCCAGTACCGCCCGCAGGAATCAATCAATGCCTGAAGAATGAATAACCTAGGAGCATGGAGACAGTCGAAACTTTTAGAATCACTCAGAGCCAGCCCCACTGACGTCCTAAGATCTCTCTGTGGACAGTAGCAAGCAGCTACCAAATCTTACTGCCACCAAATCCTACTTTTCTTGAAAACAATCTTCAGTAACCCTCCTGTGCTTCAACAGCTCCATTTACAGATCAACACATGCTAGCAAAGTTCCAGGTCGCACCAAAAGATATTCTTAAGTCCGAACCCCACCATCTCAAAGCGTGACCTTATTAAACACTCAGTGCAGGCATAATTAGTTAAACTGGAGCAACTGGAGGACTTGGGTCTCTGACACCAACATAACCCAGCTCTTCACGAAAACAGCCCTGTGAGGACAGACAACAGGGGCACACCCCAAAGAAGCAGCTGCAAGCCAGGACACACAGGACTGAAAGCCACCAGGCTTGGAGAAGGCCAGAGAGCTGCCTGTTACCTCGAGGGAACGGGCCCTGCGGACACCTTGTTTGGACTTGCAGCCTGCAGACTACAAGAGATAGGCCTCTACTGTTTTAAGGCACCCAGACTGTGGAACTCGGAACACAGCGAGCCACCTGCAGTGCTGGTCCTCCAGTGCTCCTAGCTGGGTCCTGCTGCCGCTGCGGAGGCAGCAACACGGGCTCCAAACCCTGGAGCGCCCTGGACTCCGCAGCTCCAGTCTGCAGGCCCCCTCAGCAAGGCGGGGCAGGGGTCCCCCTCGGAGGGAGGACTGGGCTCCAGCAGCACGCCCTCTGGGCACCCCGGGCGGCCACCTACCTGGTGCACACAGATGTTGCACTTGTCGCAGAACACCATCTCGTTGCCGTCCTCACCATCAGGGGACTGGCAGACGTCACAGACCACGTCCTCATCGTACTCGATCCCCAGGCCTTCCTCGGTCTCGATGGCATGATTCATGTTGTCATAGCATCGCTGCTCAAATTCCTCCAGGACCCTTTCCATGGTGAACTCATCCAGCTCAGGCATTCCTGAAAGGAAAACCACAAAGCTCACTCTAAGAAACCCACGATAATTTTGCAATGAAACAGTATTGTTGTATTTGAACTTACAATTTACAATAGATAAATAACAGAACTTAAGCCCATCCCTGAGCGTCCCAGAATTTCCTAATGAATGTCTCTCAGACCCTTCCACAGAAAAGCTCTTCTAGGCAATAGTTGGCTCCCTGTGGTCAGGCACTAAAGACAGAGTAAATAGAAAAGCAATCAACAATTCTGAGAAGGACTCAAGGATCAAGGACATGTAGTATGACATAATTCATTTCATTACAGTTATTATACAAAACCACCAGCATGTAAGTGACTTTCAGAAGCCACAGCCACATACTAGGAGTTTGGGTATTTTTTTTTTTAATTCCTTTCTTGTGCTTTAAAAAATAAAATTAAAAATAGTACTCTGAAAAACAAATTTCACTACAAGCATTCAATTCTCTTCGACTGGCTCATCCCTCCACACACTGCAGACTCCATCAAGCTGAAATACAGTTAATCAGAAATGACCAACATGGGAAAATATCTGGGGCAAAGAAGACAGTTCACTGTGGATCAAGTAAAACATACTCTTCTTCAAGAAAGATCAAAAGTAAATTTGAAGTGGCTATCATGGTCTGAGCTGGTAGGGGGAGAGAATTTATTTTCTTCTGTTTGCAGAAGTTTGTTTTCCACACTTTCTATAATGAAAATACTTGTGCAGAGAGGAAAACAACAAGTTAAAAAGTAAACAGGACATTTAAGTTGCAAAAAAAAGAAAGGAAGAAAAATCATTGGAAATGTTACTAGAGCCTACAACAACTTGAATGCATTAGCATAAATCTTAAAACCGTCAATAAACCTCCAAGTTTGTAAAACTGGAAGAACTGTATTAGACGCTGATAACAGCCCCACACATGCAAAGGGCCATCTATCTATCCAATTATGAAATGGCTTCTCCACAGCCAACTTTTCATCCCAGTACCTCCTACTGGTTTTGGAAACACCACTGACTTTGGAAATACAATACTATGCCCTATAATTAAATTTTTATCTAAAAAGACCAATAGCAACTAAAACAAACATCTTTCGCACATATTCAACTTATGTTATACAACTATATAATTTTTCCTGCCAAAATATTCAGCAATATCTTTAAACCTGATGAATTAGCCCAGTTCTTATTAATGAAACCATTCACAAAAGCCAGGAATCGGGCTGAGACCTCTGGCTTCACAGGACAGAGGTGAGTGCTTAGGTCTTCACAATGCTGCTCAAGGCAGAAGTTCACCACTCACAAAGGTGAGAGTGCTCAGCTCCGAGACCACTGGAAAGCTTCTGAGCAGAGCCTGTGAAGCAACTCCAGCCTGCTATGTGGCCACTAAAGCAACGGCCACCAAGGACATCCACTGTCTGTCACAACAGCCGAGTCACCACGCCAAAGTAAGGCATGCCTGTCACCACCCACTGGGCCGTGAACCAGCTGAGACAGGACAAGCCTTACCACAGGAGGCCCCTGCCAGGCTCCATGGAAACCACAAAGTGGCTGTCCTTCCAGGCTGTGACAGTGATGAGCTGGATGATAAATACAGAGCCAGCGCCAACTTCCCACCCGGTGCCCAGGACACCAACTGCACCCCCTTGTGAACTTCCACTGTCAAGAGTCTGGACTTGACATCCTCCTCTCGCTGTCAGGGCCCTCGAGGCCACCTCAGCAGTCAGGCCCGTGCGCAGGAGGACACTGCCTCCACCCCAGACTCCACCGACCTCGGCGCCCGCTAATAAGGAAACCGTCAAGGAGAAGCCAGGAACGGACCCACAGGTAAGAGGAAGAGGCAGCTGGGTCTGCAGCGGGACCAAAGAGTCACTGGGCAAAAACACAAGTGGCTGCAGCAGGTTCACCTCGCCCAGAGGCAGAGGCCAGGAAGGAGCCCGAGGGGCATGAGAGGAAAGACACCCCACTTCAGGGAAGTCAGGGACGGCTGGGACACAGCATAGATGGGAAGTCATGCCACCTGCAGCCTCCCGGAGCCCACCTCCACTCCCAGGGGACCACCCCGTGCCACTCTGGGAACATGCAGCCTCCCAATCCCCTGGTCACCTCCGCTGCGGTCAGACGAGCCCTGGCAGCCCAGGGGGAGGGCTGACAGTGGCCCTGCCCCGTGCCATGCTCTCTCACCCATCTCCTTGAACTCCTCGTTGGTCAGCTCCAGCCACGCGGCATCCATGTCGTTCAGGTCGTATCGACACACGCTGTCGGCCAGCGTCCGGATGTCCACGTAGCCCAAGTCAGGAGGCTCAGAGCCCGAGGACACTATGTACTTCTTGGGCCTGATGAACATGAGGGATTTCTCTTCGGACACAACCCTGGTGGACAGGAAGAGAAGGCGGCCACATTACCCGTTCTCCACCTACAAGCAGGTTTATCAGCAGGCCCCAGGTGGAGCCTGCTCCTCTGGCGCCCAGATGCCCGGGTTGGCCTACAACCCAAACACCACAAGAGCCCAACTAGAAAACACTGCGGAAGTCTTCAACACCACTTCACAGGACACCAGCACGCCTGCACCAACTACAACTCCAGTGGCCAGGCCTGCTGCCAGGCTCAGTCATTACATCACCTCCACAACCAGGCCTGCCCAGGTCACCTGCCAGCACTGGTTTCTCAAGAACATCTGCAGGAGCAAAAACGGCCCCTCAAGCTGGACACACAGCACATACTGGAAAACGGGCGGGGGAGGAGGGCCTGGTCTCATCTTACTAAGGGGATTGGAAGAGAAAGAATTAGGCCTTAGCCATCCATTAAAGAAATCTAAGGCACACAACGTTCCACCAAGCAGGGGACTCTCCCAATGGGAGCCTATGGCCCCAGAACAGGAGCCCAGGTGTCTTCTTCGCCCACTCTCTCCCCCAACCCGTCAGCACCTGGACACCAATTGCCCACCTCAACCTACTCACGGAAGGGCAAGCCCGCTCCAGCCAGGAGCCACGGCCCCCAGCGTCCCCCACAACTGTGCTTCCACAGTCTGCAGCAGTGTCAACAGGTGCCCAACAAGTTACAGAAGCATTTTCATCCTCCTTAAGTTAACATGGTGCTTCTTTCCACAGGGCACTGAAATGAGCACAGAGAAGGGACTTCTCCCTCCTACTCAAGAGACAGCAGGTCCCCAATGAAAGCCCCACGAGGGCGCGTGCTCTCTGCTTCTGTCCTGAGCAACTCCACAAGTGCGCCTGGGCTGGGCCGCATCTCCGGGAGGGAGGCAGTGTCTATGCCTGTGCCCTGCAGGCCCAGCGGGCACTGCTCCACAGACTGAACGCAGCCTACAAGCTCTGGTGGCTCCTGGAGGCGACCCGAGCCTGCCCATCCACAATGGACTGCAACATAATATGGACACCTGTCTGAGATCCCTAATGGCAACAACCAGACCCAATCACGCGCCTAAAGAAACACAACGAGGAGGGCCAAGAGGTGAGGACAGGCCATGCTCAGCAACAGAGAAGGCGGCCTCCATGCAGTGCCTGCAGCTGAGCAGGTCCTCAGTCTCTCCAGGTCACGAGGGGAAACAAGCAACCAAGAGGCAGCCTGACCCTGGAGTCAGCAAGGACTCACCCTATGAGAGGTGGGGACTTGTCAGTGGATACAGAGATCAGACTCAAAAACCTCCTTCCTCTAAAACCCTGTTCTGCAGGGTGCAGCGGCCCGCCCTTGCAATCCCAGCAACTCAGGAGGATGAGGCAGGAGGATGGCGTTCAAAGCCAGCCTCAACAACTTAGGGAGGCTCTAAGGAACTTAATGAGATGAAAGACCCTGTCTCAAAATAAAAAATAAAAACTGCTGGGGATGTGGCTCAGTGGTTAAGTGCCCTGGGTTCAATTCACAGTATTAAAAAATAAGGGCTGGGGCTGTAGCTCAGCAGCAGACCGCCTGCCTAGCATGCATGAGGCACTGGGTTCAATCCTCGGCACGACATAAAAAATAAAACAAATAAAATAAAAGCATTCTGCCCATCTACATCTACAAAACAAAATATATTTTAATAAAATAAACCCTGCATGGCAGGTCTCCTCGCCTGTTCTCCAGGGGAATGACCAACCACTGCAGGCTACGGCCCTTACTGGTTCCTCCCCTAGAGAGCCATCTCCAGAGCCCACGCAGAGCACAGCAGAGAGCAGCAGGGAGGCGCCAGTCACTTCCCAGAGTGCCCTGGGCACCTCCCCAGGGTGGCTGATCCCTACTCTCTGTGCCTCAACTGTCTGTCATCCTCGCTCACCCACTCATCTGCAGTCCTGGCTCAAGCATGCTAGGTGGGTACGCACCACGGAAATACATCCCAGCCCTTCTTATTGGGACTCAGAGACAAACAAGGCCCTTGAGGCCCGGGCTGGCCTCAAACTGCTCTTCCTGCCTCAGCCTCCTGAGTGTCTGGACTCTGGTGGGCGCCGCCTGCTGGGCTCTGCTACACTTCCACTTTCACTGAGATAAAGTCACATTATCTGGATGCTAATTTAGAACCTCTCCTGTCGGGGTCCTGGCTGGAAAGGAGGAGACGCAAGGGTGGGCAGAGGCACAGTCCTGTCCTCGGGGCACCTCTACCTGGCCACAGGCTGCGGGATGGTCCCTGGGCTCACAGGCACCTGGACCCCTTTCTCCCATTCCTGTCTCCAGGGATCTGCCAACACATAGTACTCGTCCGGGTTCAGCTGGTAGGAGTCATGCAACTTCATGGCGGTGATCAGGTCTGTCCTAAACACCTGCAAGGGACAGAAAGGGACACTGACATTTGACATTTGCATTCTTTCCCAAAGCGATGGCAGCTGCAGGGTAACCATAGAGCTGCAGGGTAACAAGGTCGCTGTATCAACACAAAACAAGGCTGACATCCTGCAGAAACCCTGCACCTGACACGCCCTTTGCCTCACCGGCCTGGAATGGCAGCAGCTGGCAGGACTGCCCTCTTGCCCCTTCTGTCAACACAGGCAGATGCAGCAGTGACTACACCAACAAAGAAACCTTGCTGTCCTCTGGAAAACTTCTAAGAACTCTCTGTTCACCAAGGAAGCCAATGACTCCCGCTACTCAGGATGCTCTCTGGGTACATGTTTAAAAATAAAACTCATTAACCATAATAACCTCGAGTCAAAACCTTCTAGAACTGCCAAGGCCACTTCCTCCGCACTCGCCACCCCCACCAGCCCCTACCTCCTGGACACCAGGCTCTGGGCCGGAGTCTGGGGAGGGCAAGGTCCAGGATGACTAGGACCAGGCAGAAACACATGCCTGGAAAAACACTGGAAGAGAAACAGCAGCAGGCCTCTGGGGTGCAAAACAGGACAGGCGTGGAGTAACAGCATGTGTTTCCCACACCGCCATTTCACCTGGCATGACTTCTGCCCAGGAAGCACCATTGCGAGGGGAGAAAGGGGAAGAGAGCCCTCTCCCTACCCTGCAAAAAAAAAAGAACGACAAGACTCCAAATTACCCTCTTCTAAGACAGTACCCCAATTCCTCCTCACAGACCAAAAGGAGGGAACTACAAAGGGCCCCCAGCACCTGCCCCTGCGCTCACGGGCCTGCAGTGTCAAGCAAGCCTGACCACGTGAGGGCAGAGCACACCTCCCAGCCGAGGGTGCACGCTGGCTCCTTCTCAGGCCTCGGCTCACTGCAGACTACAAGCTGCATAAGGAAGCCCAACCCTGGCATCCACATGGCTCTAAAGTTGCGTTTGGCAGAGATGGGGCATGCATCTGTGAGCTGCCCTCTGTTTACACAAGTCACAATGCCGAGCTCTCCTCTCAGGACAAGAAGTTCTTTCTTATGCTGCTAAGCACAGTTCACATCATATGCCTGCTAATAGGTCCATATTTGTTTTTCCTGGTAGCTTTTCAGGCTGGTGATCACTTTAATAAACTTCACCACAATAAGGCAATGACACAATGAGGCAGTGTCTCAACTAAAAGGCCACTTCTCCACACTGCCATCTTTATGCTGGTTTGCCCTGGATGCTACTCCTCTTCTCTATGGTCCCATCAGTAAGCAAGAAACCTAGTCACATGCCTTCCACGAAGACCTACATGCATCCTGGGTTCCTGTCAAGCCCAGAGTCCTGAAGCAGATGCCCAGCGCATTGTCTTGTCCTCCCTCAAAGCAGTCCCTTACAAAGCAAGGAAGTCTGCCAAAGAAGGGGAACCAACGGCAGCAACAAGATGAGAAACAGCAGCCACCATCCTCCACTGAGAGCCAGGGAGGCTCTGATCAAGAGCTGAAAGACACCCTCAAATGACCTAAGCTTCCAAAGTCCCTGACAGTTCAGCGTGACTGCTTTACTTAAAAAGTGGTCTAGGCCTGGAGATATAGCTCAGTTGGTAGAGTGCTTGCCTCTCGTGCACAAGACCCTGGGTTCAATCCTCGGCACCACAAAAAAAAAAAAGTGGTCTGAACTCAGAGAAAGTTACACAGGTCAGGGAGAAGACCGGCACGAGGTCACTGCTGCTCAGAGTCTCCCCCTCACTACCTGGTGCAGGCACCGCAGGGGTGTGGAAGGGGATCCACTTACATGCCAGGAACCAACCAGCTTCTGTGGGGCTCTTGCACACCTGCACTGAAACAGCAGCACGGTGTAAACATCAGAAAGGTACTTCTCGAGGTCGTCAGAAACATCAGAGGCAGCACGAGGGATCAAAAAGAAGAAATAAAAACAACCAAAGACACCAGTACCCTAGAAGGACGTGAAAGCAAAAGGCCTGCAATAACCCAAGGGATGGAACAGCCACCTCCTCAGCAGCATCTGGCCTAATGCAGAGGCCCCTCCTGGGCAGCTCTCTGCAATCCTACAGGACATGCGCGATTTCCTGGAGGGTGTCCCTGCACACCAGCCGACTCCTCCACTGCACACAGCACCTCTGGGAGCTCCCACAGACCCTCTGAGGACACCTCTCCACGGAGCCACTACAGAATGGGGCCTACTTTGAAGTCCTCCATCAAGAGGAGGCACAAAACCAGAGTCCAACCACAAACTCTTTCCATAACCTGCTCACTCGGAATCCTCCAAGCCCAGCCGAGGTAGTCACAGAGAACAGCCCAGGACAGGTGGGATCTCTAACAAAGCAGAGAAAGATGCACCTAAAAACAAGTGCAGGTAGAAAGACACACAACAAAATGTGGAGCAGCGGGGGAAACAGAAGAAGAGGAGAAACAAATTAGGAATGAGGGGAAGCCTTAGCATAATCCCCAAGCAAAACTCCCAGATTACGTTGGATTGTTGCCAAATAAGCCACAAATTCATGGCTAAAACTAACTTGAGGCTGGCAGTGACTTGGCAGCAGCTGAACCGCTCCTCTCCTGGCCAGAGGGAGAGCTGTTGGGAGCCAGCGAAGATGGAACAGGAAAGGAAAGAAAGAAAACAATTAATCATAACAACTAACCATCATTGGCACTCTGTGTGCCGGGAACAGTGCGCGAGCTCGGCATGTAGGCGCCTCTGCGTATTAACCCAGTCATCACTCACAAGAACCCTACGAGGCACAGACCTGAGTAACCCCTCCTACAGCTGTGTACACAGAGGCACAGAGAGGTTAACGTGCCCAGGACTGCACACAGACATCGGCCAAACAGGTGTCTGGGGGCAGCATGTCCTCACGCACACGCGTGGATGGCATGCAGAGCCAGGCAGACGTGCAGGAAGTACCTCTGAAGGCTTCCGGTCTTCATGTCTGGAGCAGGAACTTCTCCTGTGCTGGGATCGAGAGTTCTGGGACCATGTAGTTGACAGGCCTGGAAAAAAACAAATATCCCAACAGGGGTCACTGGGTTCTCGGGAGCTTCCTGACCCAAGCTCATCGAAGCTCACCTAGGGGACAACGCCCAATGCCCTCCCCTGGATCTCAGCCAGAGCTCCTCTATCCCAGCCAGTCGTTTCCAAGCACACCGAAGGCCAACCCTAGCCTAGAGAGTGCATGGGTGCTGTGTGGGCACAGCACATACAAGGACAGAGCACTTCAGAACACAATGCTGATGGTGCCTGTGCTTCCTAAGAGGCTCTAAGTCTCACATTCTTACATACAAACTGAAAAATGTCTTCATGAAGCTTTCTAAATGCAAAGATCAGTTCGCTGAACCCTAAGACAATGCTCTAAACATTGAAACAGGAAAGCCAGGGGGAGACAGCGCCACAGAGCATAAAAATTCAGTATTCCCAGAACAGAAAGCCTGCAAGGAACCCCAGAATTGCCCACTCTGCTTTTCCATGAAGACACCACGGGCTCTCTCCCTCCCTCACTTCCATCCTAGCAAACGGCCTCTCCCCCTCATGGCACCCGGTCTCCTAACTGCCAAAGCTGGGAGCCGCTCGGACCTGAGACTTCTCTGCAGCACCAACAATTCCATCCTGCTGTCACACCCCCTCTGCCTCAGAGGCTGTCCTCCTCAGCAGGGACCCACCATGGATTCTGCTTCTGTGCACCCGTGAACACTGGTCTTCACACCCTGGCACACCCAGAGGACCCAGCAGACCCTTTAAGCTCCAGACCCAGACCCAGCCTCCCCTCCATGTCAGACAGCAACCCTTGGGTGCTGAGTCTATTGACTCAGCATTACAAAAACTGAGTTCCAGTTCGCCCAAACCTGCTCTGCCTCTCCGCCCATGCCTACTGTGATGAACACAGTCACCATTTCTACTTGAGGTCAGAAACCTTCAAGTCACCCTGGAACCTCCTGCTCAGAACACATCCAGTCCTATGAGTGGCCCAGTCACCCACCCAACTTTCCCACCCTCCACCCCTGCCACTGCCTCCTGTTAATGCCTTACATGGACAACTGAATGGCCTCCTCTCTTGGATGCCAGACTGTTGCCAGAGATCCAAAACAGCACTCGCAGCCACCTGCAGGTTTTGTTCAACTTCCTAAGAACTCATCTCCAATGTCTATCTTCAGCAGCACCTGATTTGATAAACAGGGGGCACCACTTCCCGGAAATGAACAAAATCCAAAAAAATTAAAAGCCAAGCATCTGAAGGAACTGCCATTCTACCAGTTAAGCCACCTGTCACTCAAACAGACACCCTCATCTCTACAGAATCCAAATAGGGGAACATGGAATCAAAGCACTGGTAAGACCTTGGGGACATTAAGAAGTAGATCCTGCACCTAAGCCTGTCATCAGATTTGCTATGACCAAGGGATTTCCAGCTTCACTCTGACAGGGAAGGCTTCAGTGCCACCTTTGAGCCTCAGTCCTGAGCTGTTCTTAGGTCAACCGAGTAGTTAGATTGGCAGAATGAGATTTCCTTCAAGCAACCCCTTGGCATTTTGTTAATGTTGTAGAACATCCTTTCTAGCTGGGCATGGTAGCACACGCCATCATCTAGTGACCCGGGAAGGCGAAGGAAAGAGAAGCATAAGTTCAGGGCCAGCCTCAGCAACTTAGTGTGTCCCCTGACAACTTAGACCTCGTTTCAAAATAAAAAATAAAAAGGGCTGGGGATGTGACTCAGTGGGTTCAATCGCCAGCACAAAAACCACCAAGAAAATTCTTCCTTAAAAGTAGTAAGTGGAACTGGGGTAGCACATTTCCCTAGCATGCACAGGCCTGAATTCCATCCCCAGGACCCAAAATAATAAAAATAATAATTATAATTTTAGACCCTGAACAAGAATGCTTCATTCTCACATTGAAAAGAAACATTCTGGGCGCAGTAGGGTGAGCTCAGCTGGCTCTAAATTGGTCACTCCTGGAAGAAGGAAAGGCAGAAGCCACGTTAGAAGCCTAGAGAGAAAATAGATGGGCTGGGGCTGGGGATGTGGCTCAAGCGGTAGCGCGCTCGCCTGGCATGCGTGCGGCCTGGGTTCGATCCTCAGCACCACATACAAACAAAGATGTTGTGTCCACCGAAGACTAAAAAATAAATATTAAAAATTCTCTCTCTCTCCCCCCTTTAAAAAAAAAAAAAAGAAAGAAAATAGCTGGGCTGCTCGACTCTTCGAGAGACCCTTTCTCCACCTGCTGGTCCTACAGGACATCCTCCAGCAGTCTGCAGGCTCAAAAAAGGGAACAAGAACACTAACTGCATGGAGAAGAGTCCCAGGAGGTCCAGGGTGGGAAAGAGAAGACCGAGGCAGGAAGGGAGGGCTCCTTCACCGTCAAGTACCATGGGAAGGATTATAAATGAAACAAAGCTAAAATCTTTAAGAATCACCCCTCTGCTGTATTTTAAAATCAACATGAAGTAGAACGTGGAGGGTCCTTAGAGAAAAATACCTTCAGGGTTAAAACAAATAAATTTGCTAATTTTTTGGGTCCATGATCCTCTTGCCTCTTCTGGGATCTGTAGTTTCCAGGGTTCACAGGAAGCCTATAGCTTTGAGGACACAGAACGCACCCCAGTGACAAACCCTCACTTGGAAGCTTTTCCCAGGACTGCTTTTATAAGTCTTGAAAACCAGTGTCTGCACCATATTTGCTTTCAAAAAACATATCTCTAAAGATGCTACAAATCTGATATCCAACAGTATTAACCAAGGCCAACTCTAGTCCATCCGAAAACAATCTGTTCCTTTTCATTTACCTAGTGCTAATATAATGCAGAGGAGAAAAAGAAATTAAAACTAATCCTATTAGACCACTTTGTGGGCTAGGATGTGGCTCAGTGGTAGAGCATATGCACAGCATGTATGTGGGTTCCATGCCTAGCACTACCAAAAAAAAATTATTTGATTTATAAGAAAACTCACTTTAAAGCAAGGGAAACACCAGAAAAGCTAAATTTAATTTATCATTGACATAAGGAATGTTCTCAGCAGCTCATTTACGAAAGCTAAAAGCTGGATGGAAACAACCTAAAAAAATCCACTACCAGACTACAAATGAATAAACAAACTGTGGTACATCCATACACTGGAACACCAGCCAGCCATCAAATGAGCTATTAATACCTACAACATGGATGAATAATGAAATAATTATGCTGAGGAAAAGAAGCCAGACCAAAAAAGGATCATACTGTATTATTCCATTTATATAAAGCTCTGGAAAATGCAAACTAATCTATAGTGACAGAAAGCAGATCGGTAGTTGAAAAGTGGGGAAAGTGGGAAGGATTACTTTGATTTTGATGGTATCATGGGTGTAAACATGTTCAAGTTTATCAATGTGTACACTTTAAATATGTGCAATTGCTATGTCAATTATCCCTCAATAAAGCTATTTAAAAGCTACTGTCAGCCCGGGGCTGTGGCACATGCCTATCTATAATCCCAGCAGCTTAGGAGATTGAGACAAGAGAACCACAAGGTCAAGACCAGCCTCAGCAACCTAAGCAACTTAGCAAGATCCTGTCTCTAAATAAAATGTTTTTTAAAAGGGAAGGGGGGCTGGGGTGTGGCTCAGTGGTTGAAGGCCCCTGGGTTCAATCCCTGGTACCAAACTAAATAAATATATGCTATTGTCACTGCAATGTTATTCAGTGGAAAAGGAAAAGGAACTTATCTTGCATGGGTGGTTTGTATAAAGCTGAGACTTCACTGATGAACCAGGTGAGAACCTGGTCCAAGGGACCTAGGGAGCTACTCAGCCTGTGTACAGTGGCAGGGCACAACTGCTGGAGATCTCTTTTTCTCTTGGTTTTTGTGCTCGTATCAAAAGCAGTTATTCTATCAAGAGCCCCCAGTATAAGGCACAGAATTTATAGCTGAGTCAGTGCTGAACACACAGCAAATTCTCAATTAATACTTCAAATCTTTCCAAAAAAGTAGACCAAAAAAATTGAGTGGCTGGAACTAAAGGTGGCAGCCAGGACTACACTCCTATTTCACCTAGCAGAAGAAAACCAGGTCAAGGAAGAGAGCGACATTCAAAGATCCATTGGGGGCCACTGCCTCCTGCCTAGAAAGCACCTCCATCCAGGGACACATTCATGGCAGTGACAGGCATGGTGTCCGTCCACCAGCATCCCTTCCTACAGCCACACTCTTTCCACACCAGGCCAGGAAGCTCCCAGAATATTATCAAAGCAAAAATAATCTGCATTCCTTTTCAATTAAAAAAAAAAGTTGGGTTTGGGGTGTTGCTCACAGCCCATCCAACCTCAGCATTGCCAAACAAAAGCCAGGCTACAAAACACTTTCTGCCGACAAGCCCAGGGGCGCAGGTTCACCTGAAATGATGCTATTTAAAACAGTAGCAGGACTGGGAACAGCCATCCATACTCTGTTAAATAATCGCGGGCCCTGGCTGAACACCGTCATCCGAGAGCACACGGGGCTGGGCTGCACTTTCTGATTCCAGATGCTGGTATTTAATGATGCACCAGATGAGGAATATGACTAGCAAAATGCTTCATTTTTGGCTCTTAGGAGAGAATCCAGGAACCCTAAAAATGTAGTAATAATGACTAACCTTATTTTATTACCACACACAAGGTAAGATTATCACCCGAGGTCAAGTCCACTCCAGTGACAAATTTAAGAGACATAAAATTCTTGACATGTACACTGATCAAAGAACAAGTCTATACTAAACTGTCTTACATTAAACACGGGAAAAAATGAGTGTGGGGGAAGATTTTGTCTTGTTTCAACATCCCCAGCCTCCATCGAGGCAGAACCTCCGGGGATAATACAAGTTCTAGAGATCACAGCCAGTGTGGACCCTGCCACGCACAATATTCTTGGCCCTTCTTTCTGGTCCTACTGCAGAGGCATCTAACACTCCCCTCTGAAATATTAAAAACCGCCTTCTATCTTGCCCTAGATCTAAATAAGGAGTGGCTCTAAACACAGCTCAAGCACCTTCCAAGCACACCAGCTCGCGTGTTGCACCTGCAGCAAGAGTTATGAAGCTGGAATAATGGAGGGTCCATGCACACACCATGAAACTCAGCCTGTGAAACCATCTGTCACTGGCTGTACACAACCCTCCCACATTGGAGATGCAGCTTCCAGACATGACACGGTGACACGCTGCTACATCCTGCTGCGTTAAACCCGCTGAGCCCTAACCATTAGGCACAGCAAAACTCTGGTCCAACAGTCTGGCATCTCAGCCCCTGTGCGCCACCAGAGGGCTGGCTACCCCTGGGCAAGTGAAGCTGCCACTCCTGCCTGGAGAGAGCATACCTAAAGCTCTGCTGGTCATCAACCTTAACCGCAGGACTGAAAACAAGGCCTGCCTCAACTGCCGCTGCTATCTCAAGCTGACCCTACACCTGCTGGGCTCTTCCACCCCAGCTCAGCTGACCCCTGTGTTTCCTCTCACTTTCACCTTCTGAAAAACAAGACATCTCACACACTCAGAGCTGGCCCGCACCAGCGGACTGAAATGCACACACATGGGTCTTCAGCCAGCTGACGCACAGGCAGGTTCATAGTCACCCAGCACTCCTGCCCAAGGCCAAGTCCCAGGACCCAGAAGGCTCATCTCTGGATGAGTCACAACAGGAGCAGAACTGGAGGGGGAGGTGCCCTTTAGAGGAGACCATTCCAGAGGCACGTGAGTGACCAAGCACAGCCAGTCAGACATAAGAAAGTGAAGGTACAGTACGGTGTGAGGCTCACTGAATGAAATGAGCAGTAATGGGGCCCAAAGCAGAAAGTACAGCCAGAGAGTCCAGAATGACAAGTGCGGAAGTTCATGCTCGCATCGCATCACGGCCTGCACTGCTAACAGGAAATCGGGGAGTTGGGATTTCAGCTCACTCCCCTCTCCGCCCACTGGCTGAGCCCAGGTGTGAACTGAGGCACGAGTTTCACAGGGAAGCTGGGTGGCCCTGGAGGGCCTCACCACACCTGCTATGAGCCTGCCTGCCTTCCACAAGGAGGTCAACAAAACCCTGGAATTTAGCAAGTTATCCAGGAAGCCATGCTTCACAACTTCAGGAACAACCACACATGATCAGAGCCCTTCCACCAGCCTTTGCAAAAGGGAACCAATTTCCCTCTTTCTGAGGCACCAAACAAAACCACCAGAACCAATGAAAACCCCATTTGTGTCTGGCTACCTCACCCAACCAAAGACTTCATGACCTGGATGGGGTGGGGGTTTGCCAGATAACACTAATCTTCATTTTAATAGGAAAAATACCAAAGGATACAGATCAGAGCTATGAATTGGCCAGACAACCAGTAACACATAATTCCTGCCAAAAGAAGGGACACTTGATGTTTGAATTATCCTCTGTAGATAAAATGAAATCTTTTAAGTTTTGGAAATAATGAACATACTGGTGGAACCAATTCCCACATTTGCCAAACCCCTAAGGTCAAAGGCTCCTGGATGGGAAGCAGGAAATTAAAGGGCCTGTTTCCCTGGGCCACACCCTGGCATGATGCATAACCTCAGAGTTCGGCTGAGCCACCCGGTCTCAGGAGCCCAGCAATTACAGAGCTGCCTCAAACCCAACACTATTCCATCCCACTGCAGAGCTAGGCCTCCAGGGCGCCTGGAGAAAGACTGCAAGGACCACACCTGCAGCTGGACGAGGGCTTGTGTCTGGCACAGAAAGCGCCATCTATCCCCAACTGTAAATACCACACTGGTACTCCTCTGGGCCAAGCCAGAAAACAAAGCCATGGGCTCCAGGCTAAACGAAGGCAGGGCCCAGCATGGCTGTGGCGATGCTGTGGCCCCATGCTGACGTCAGCCACTGCCTCTCCTGTACTTGGACACATGCTCTGCACCGAGTTGGGAACTACAGCCAAATGTTGTCAGGCCTACAGGCTGGAGCAGCCAGGAGTGGCCAGTGCACAGGCCAAGCCCAGCTGAGCAGCAATGGAAGCAAACACTGTATCCGGTGGCATTCCCTCTATAAGACCCTACACCAGGGGCAGTGGGCTTGCCCATCCAGTCCCCAGTACATACAAGAAAGAAGGCACTCCAGTGCCACTGAGTGGGCTAGTGTACCATGAACCAGCTGCCCTAGGAGAATGAAAGGCGGGCTCCTGATCTGAATATGCAAATGTTTTTATGAGGCCTGACACTCAACCAGAGCTGCTTGTTCACCACCACCATCATCATCCTCCATGATGACCAAATCATTAAGTACGGACAGGCAGCCACAAAGCATCAGCACCCCTCTCACAATGAGCCACCCTATGACCAAAGCACGGCCTGCCTTCTGCCAGCAACCAGCATTCCTCTCCCATGCCCAGGCCAGGGATAGGAGAGAACTGGGCTTCGGCACCTATGCAGCTAACCCAACTCCAGCATCCTAGACATATTTCCCTTAATCCCAGGCCCACAGGAAAGGCCACCTCGGAGTGGCCTTCTGGTGGACTCCTCCTCTTCCATCTCGAACTGGTTAACGCACTTTCAGATCTTTCAGATGAGGCATCTTCCCTTCTGGGGCTGCTATGGATTGCACTGTGCCCATTACTGTGAAGCCCTGACCCCTCATATCTCAGACTATGACCATATGGGAAGCAGCATCTGGAAAGAACAGACTTAAATGGACCTTAGTCCAATCTGACCACTGTCGTTACAGGAAAGACCATGTGCGGTCACAGCAAGGAAAAAGCCAGTGGGTAAGGCCTCAGAAGAAACCAAGCCTGCCAACACTTTGATCTTAAGATTTTCAACTCTAGGACTATGAAAAAGAAAATCCATTTCTGTTTGTTAATTCACCAGGCCTATGGTGCTTTGTCACCGGCAGCTTGAGCTAACTAATACTAGGGGGTTTGAAGCTAGCAAGAGCCTCTGAACAGGAGTCTACAGTGTGTCCAGAGCTGCACTACACAGAGTGGTGGCCACAAGTGGAAATCACTAGCTGCACAGGGATTTCTAAATCTGTGCTTATTAAAATGGAGAAGTTTAACTTAAGTTCAGTTTCCCTAGACTACACGTTTCCACACCACTAGACAATGCTGGTCTAGAAAGGCACAGGTTCTAAGCGAGCGCACACGCACACAGAACTTCAGCCTTTTGTTGGGCACTATTAGTATGTGGAGATGATTCATAAGACCTTCTTCTGATAAATTCTGAACCTATAAAGCAAGGCTTCTTTTTTAATTGCTTTAGGACAAAACTGCAAACCCAAGCAAGCAGCAAGGTTTACTGAGTACTTAATAACTCAGGAGGGCACTGACAGGTCCCGTGGGGGACTGGAAAGAAACACCGAAGCCTGCTTTCTCCTGAGCAGTAGTAAACACTGGAGAAAACAAGGAGTAAAAGCTGTGAAACTCTAAGTGGCTCAAGTTCAGAAGGCAGCACCCCAGAACACTTAGACAGGTGGCTTCACCTGCCTGTGGGTGAGTCAGCCCTCAGTACCTGTCCCTCAAATACCAGAAAAAGCCCTCTCTTCAGAGCTGACACTAGTAGGCTCCCTACTTCTCCCCTCCCTGCTCCCAAAGCCAACTCAGCGGCTCCTGCCACCTTCCCAGAGGCCCCATTCCCTTAGCCCCTTACCCCAGCCCTTCAGGCATGGTCAGTCTACCTGGGTTCATATCCCCAAACAACTGACCGCCTCTCCCAAGGCCAGCAGTTCCAGGTGCAGCACTCCATGCCTGCGCCCAGGCCCTTCCGCAGCTTTCCATGGCTTCAGTGCAGCCCACTATGGCAGCAAAGCCTTGCGTCCTCATTTGCAGCTTTTAATTTGCTGACATTAAGAGACCAAGAAACTAATGACAGCGTGTTGGCCAAAAACCTGTTTCATTCTTCAGGGACAGCACAAGTTCCATGTCCTCTAGCAGCATCCGGGGTCCCCACCCCACCCCACCCCCATATTTGTGCATATCTGTTTCCAGAGCAAAGACAGACAGCTCTGGAACTGACTTCCTTCAGAGCAGATTTTACCCTGAAAGCAGGCCCATTCCGTCCCATCCCACAGCACAGCATCCTCCCCTTCAGGTGGCCCCCAGTTTAATCTGTACAACATCAAACAGAAGCTAGAGGGCTGGAGCTCAGGCACTTTGCTGTGTGAGGGGAGCTCTTCCCTAAGGAGCCTGTTGGCGTCTCCATGCAGACACTGTGACATTTATTTTGACTGTCTGGAAGCCAACTCACTTCTGGTGGAAATGTGAGGGTGCCAGGCGCAGAGTAGCAGAGTTAAGCAGCAAGCCCCTTCAGAGAAAAACCAGGGAGAGCAGCCTCAGCCTCAGCCTACGGGAAACTGGGCTGCCTGCGCGCTCCAGTCACACCAGGTGACCCTCAACCTCCAGCGAAGGAATGGAACTGGTTAATAATCACCTGGCTTGGATGAAGTTCCCTTTTCATAAAGAGCAACTGCAAAATACCTTAAATGATGTTTAAGAAAAACAGCCACACCAGTGAGTCCTGGAACCAGATTACTCATCCCCGGATAACAAACAGGAAGCCTCAGGTATGCAATCGACCTCACAGGGAAAAAAGATCTGGTTACAGACCTACAGTATCACACTCCAGTGTGCTCAGCCTGGGGCTGCCCCTGACCTGCTGATATGCAAAGGACCTCAGCTATTCAAAGCATTACATTAAAAAATCATGTTTTAACACTGCCCCAAACCCTGGAAGGCTCCAGGAACAACAAAGCAGGACTTACTGCCATTGTCGTCAGAATCCTCACTGCTGCTGGGAAGGCGACCTCGTTTCATGATCTCCCCGGGAAGCAGCAGGCAGCCTGCAAGGCAATGAGACAGCACTTAGCCCAAGATGATAACACACCACCATCAAGTTGTGCTCAGATGGTGGCCCAGGATCAGCAGCAAACAAAAGCAAACAAATGCTTAAGTAGCATTTTGAATTGCAAACGGTGAAAAGACCAAAGATGCATAATTAGTTGCAATAATTAACAGAACAGGTTAAAGGGGGGAGGGGGGGTGAGCTCTTGTCAGCAGGTCTCCTGAAGGTGCCAGGTTTCTCTCTACAGTCCCTTGAGAGACCACTGCTACAAGCACCCCAGGAGTCTCTATCTGACAAGCAGCAAGCACTGCAGGAGCAGACCCAGGGCAACCAACTCCCTCCTTGCTATGGACTTCCCCTTTGTATGTGTCCCTGGGGGGCGGGGGGCAGTGGACAGGGTGGTGCCTGCATGTTTGAATTTTTACACTGCACTGGGCATGACTGTACTTCTCTGGCAAATTTTTGCTAAAATAATCCTAAAAGCCAAGTCAACTTAAGAGTTCCAGAAACAAACCAGGCGGGTTCACGGGAAGACAAATGTCCCCCCATTCCTCTCTACTCGCTGCAGGACGCCATACCCTCGGTGCAGACCCCTCTCTTCTACCCATTAGGAAATGAAAGCCAAGAGGAGCAACTTCTCCAAGGTCTCTCCAAGGTCACACCATGGCACAGAGCTCAGGACCCTCAGTCCAGTGTCTTCCCTTGACCAACTCCTTTCAGGCCCAGTACAAGCAAATCCACTAAACTAAAATATCGGTTTGTACTAATTCCCAGCCCACCTGGCCCACTCTTTCAGGAAGCTAGTGGTGACAGGCATCTAGCACCACTCAAGTGACAGCAAGACTGCATTTAGGAAAGAGGAGGTGGGCAAAGACTGAACAGTCACTGAGCTTTTGCAGATGAAATCATAGTTACATCCACACAGGAAAGTACTAAACAAATCCAAGAGTTTTTTCTAACTAAAATTACTGATCTCCTTGACCCCTGCAGAGCCCTGATCTTACTGCAGGATCAGGAATTCTCCAAGAGGAAGGACAGCTTTCCAAGTCAGAGGAAGTGTGGTGGCCCAGCACCTGCCCCCACCCCTCAGAAAGTGCACACCCACCACCTCCTCCCTGGGAATCACAACACGCAGCGTGCGTTTCCAGTGACACCGCGGCAGAGTGGTGGAGAAGACCGTGCTAAGCAGGACCGTAACTGAAAACCAAACCCGTAAAAGCGCAGTCTCAAGGAGCAGACTGTCCTACTAAAAAGGGACCCAGCTACACCACTTGGGTCTGAAGGCGACTAGAGCGGCAGGAAGGGGGCTCACTGCCCTTGCCTAGCTGACTAGAAGGGCAGAAATCTCCCTCTGTAGAGAAAACTTCCCCAACGAACAGCTCCTGTGCATAAACAACCCTCCTCTGCCACTAGTTTGCCACAAGCCTGGTAGTCATCTTCCCAGAGCCAGCCTGCCTCCCTAGAAGCCCCATCCCCTCAGGCTGTGACTAGTCACTTGACCAGTCATCACCCTGAATTCAAATTTTACACTGTAGATAAGCCCCAGGTCTGGCCACCTAGGGGGATTTTTACTTTTTGGTGACTAAGTAAAACCACATAAACATCAGTAGAGTCTTTTCTCTGGTGATCTCCACCTTATTAATTCACAGGCATGTTTCCCCTTAGGAAACAGATCAACGTGACCCATTCAAACATTCAGGCCCCTGACCTACCATTTCAATATTTTATATTTCTTCCTAGAAAACTCAACTCAGTTAAAATTTTGTGGGATTTTGCTTATCAATCAATTGCTCAAAACCATTAAAAGAAGCCAGGTGCAGGGGCACACGACTGTAATCCCCGTGGCTCGGGAGGCTGAGGCAGGAGGATTGTAGGAGGATCATGAGTTCAAAGCCAGCCTCAGCAACTTAGCAAGCAACTTAGTGAGACCCTGTCTCAAAATATGAACAGACTGGAATGTGGTTCGGTGGGTAAGCGCCCCTGGGTTCAATCCCCAGTACACACCCAAAAAAACCCACTAAAAGAATTTACCAAAATGAAGCCAGGACTTGAGTCCTGATAGGATCACAAGTTGCCTCAGGAACATGCTTTGTGGGACAGGGTTTCACCTGAGGGCAGGGTCACAATCCTAAAATCCCACCTGCCCCTTTTTCCAAGAGCCCCTGTCTCCAAAGTCCCTCTCACCCAGAACCCTACAAGTTGACCATTCCTGCCAAAAGCTCAGGCCATCCAACACCTGTGACACACTTCCCAACTGCAGACTCCCTCCTGCTGTTTTCTCCAACACCAACCGCTAGTGGTGGCCTCCTCCACCATCTGGCAGACACCCTGGTCCTGTGGGGACCCAAAGGGAGTACAAACAGAAGGGAAACCCACTCACTGGTGACAAGAGCTTCTTCAGCTCCCCAAAGCCTGTTGTGAAGACCTTTAAAAAAGAAAACATGACCTACAGAGGACTTCCTCCTTCAGTAAGGTGTGCTGCCACAGGGCAGGGTGCAGTTACCTCCTCCCCAGCAGGCACAGAACGGAGCAGAGGCTCAGAGCCCTTCCCAGGTACACACAAGAGCAGAGCCTGCCTCATCTTCTCTGCTCAGACATTCAATCTGCCTCAACAGAACAGCCTGGAGAACCTACACCCCTCGAACCAAATGCCTTCCTTCCAGCTACAACAAAACTCACATGGAAAGCATATGGGCAGTCAGTCACTAAAGGCCAAACGCAAGCACCGGCCAACACAGGGCAAAGCTCCTTTCCTCTAGCGAAACCATGCCCATGGAATAAAGCAGCTCTTTCCTTCCAGCAAAGTCCACTTCCACTTGCCCTCTGATCTGTACCCTGCTCCTCCAGGGGAGCTGGCAGTCATGGTGTCAGTGCCCTGCACAGCTTCTTCCCCTGTGCCCTACTCTACTTAAACCTTGGCACTGGGCTGATTTATCACACCCAGGGTTACTCAATGGATCAGAAAATCAAAGTCCACGTTACCTTCTCCAACATACACAATACCACAATGCGGTGGGAATACGTTTCGAACGCCATCAAGTAAAAGCAGGAGAAAGCAGAGTGGCTATGCATTATTACCTTCCCTGACCCTCTGGTCCAGTGGCGGATCCACCTAGATGGTAGTAGATTAAGTAATAATCAATTAAAAGGGCTCCTCCAAGCACTCAAGAGAAAGCAGCAAGTGTAATAGCAGATGGGAATATCTAACGTATTAGGAGGTGTTGGAAGAAAACCACAGTCCCTGGCCTCATGGGGCTTCTGGCCTCACTGAGGAATCGGGCAAGCAACAGGAATGGCCATCGATGGTGACTGAGTGACAAATGCATGGTTCTCTAAGAACGCTGGCAGTGGATGGAGTCAGGAGAAGATGAACAAAGGGGAGACAGCCAGAGAAGGGAGCACATTTGGGGCAAAGCAAACACAGAATCATCCTATCTACCTGTTTGTTTCTTTATTAATACACATCCCTCCTTATTTGCAACTGCCAAGGCTTACCAACTGACACCAAGTCCCCCTACTGCCCCACGGTTTGGTCTTCAATCACCCACAAAAGTTCCTGTGTTGGAAACCAGATCCCCAAGCAAGTGTGGTGAGCTAGGCCAGATGAGGCAGGCAGAGCTCCAGAGTGGGCTGTTATGAGAGTGCTGTCAGTTTGGCCCCCTCTGGGTCACCTCCATTTTAATGCCTTCTACCCTAAAATGACCAAGCAAGAAAGCCTTCACCAGATGTGGCCCCTCGATCTAGTTACCAGACCACGGTGCTCTATTACAGCACCAGGAAACATAAGACATCACTTTTACCTAGTTGTTTTTGTTTGTTTGTTTGTTTTTGTGCCTTCCATTCTCCAAGCCTAGGATTTCTTCCCACTGTCAGTTACAACGGAGTAATTACCCTGAGGTGAACTCATCAGGCCATTTCCTTCGAAAATCTCTCCCTGAGGTCCCCCTGCAAACAAGTCCAGTACAAACTGTCCAGGGAGAAACTCCTCCCAAGTTTTCTGACCCCGTCCCGTCCATCCTAGGAAGCCCCAGCTTAGCATACATACCTCCATTGGGCCAGGCTCTTCTCTAGAAAACCCCTCCTTGTCGTTCTCAACCTCCACTAATGCTGCTTCTGTTTCTCTCCTTACCCAATCCCACCTCTTCTCCGGGGTTCAATCAAAAGCCACCAAATATCTTATCCACCATCCCAACTCTTGAGCACTTGAGAGCCCATGGCTCGGTACAAACGTGTTCTTCTTTTACAAGCTGTTGGCCTTCTTCTTCACTGTTATTTTTTTTAATAGTGTCAGTGTGGGGGGATGGTGACACTTGTTGAAGATGTTAAAGCAGATTTTATTCAAGGGAGAGGAGAGCAAGGATTAGGTTAAGAACTACTGCAATGGGGCCTTGCAGCAGTCGGGGAGCAAGATGAACTCAACTCAGTCACCGAGGGACAAGTGGGGATTTCTATCCCAGGAGCAGGGCGGGTTCAGTGGGAGCAATAGTAGGAGGAAGCCTTGAGGATAAGCAGTTTCCGACTTGCCGGCCTCCGAGGATTGTGGGCAAGCCAGGACAGGAAGGAGGTCAGATGCCAAGGGCAGGGGATCCCCTCCACTCCCTCTCAGGATTCCTCAGGAAGCCCAGGTTCCTCTCCTCAAGCAGAGGATCAAAGGAGCACAGTGTATTCATGCCTGCTCTGCATCAGGACTTAGGGGCCAGTTCCTACATGTGTGTCGACAGAGATCGTCCTGATTTCTGGAGCTCAGAGATTTTCTCAAGCAAGACATCAGGTGGAAGGGCCAGCTGTTGGTCAAAAGGGCCGCACAGGGCTGCTACAAGAAGCACCCCCAGAACTCTGGGCAGTACGCAGCAAGACTCACCTCCATACTGTCTGGACTTCACCAACCTGACTCAAAGTGATTCAGTGTACATGACCCTGAGCGTCCCGTTCACCACGAGGAACAACTAGGTAGACAAAAATACTAACCCACGAGGAACAACAACTAGACAGACAAAA